TCTCTCTCTCTCTCTCTCTCTCTTAAAAAAAAAATGGGCAAAATGTAGACAAGTTCTCTGCCAGAATACAATACAAGTGGCCTCTAGGCGAATTCCCCAAAGAGTCTTCAATTCTTCTGAAACCTCATAAGTACAGTCTGCACTCAATAGGTATTCTGTCCTGGGGTCCCACCAGAGCCACCCATTAAGCTGCATTTCCAACATTCTAAAATTTTCTGGTTTACATCTCTAAACTTCAAAATTCCTYCAGCTTGAAAGACTTCTGAACCAACAGTCAGGTTAGTCACAGTTACAACCCAACTTCTCAGTACCGATTTCTGTTTTAGTCAAATTTTGAGACACTGTGACCAAAATACCCAACAAGAACAACTTAGAGAAGGGAAAGCTTATTTGGGACCCATGGTTTTGGAGGTCTCAGTCCGTAGACAGCTCACTCCATTGTTCTGGGTCCTAGGTGAGGCAGCACATCATAGGGGCAGGCTGCCGGGAAGCCGAGAGAGGGCCAGAGAGCGAAAGTGGTCACTGGGAAGAGGAGCCTGTCCATGGCACACCCCTAGCATCCCACCTGCCTACAGTTACCACCCAGCAGTCCATTCGAACTAGGATGACCTGATTAGGTCACAGCCCTCCCAGTCCAGTCATTTAGCCTCCCAGCATTCCTGCACTCCCACAGAACCTTCTGGGGGAACCTCATAGCCAAGCCACAACACCTAGTGTGGAGGGGACACTCTGGAGCCAGGGGTGGTAGGAGAGGCATGGACTCTTGGGTGAAGCCTAAGTGTAGTTGTGCGGCTCCTCCAGAGGCCAGACTTCAAGGCCTTCAGACTCCAGTAAGCAGCAGTCCTCTGAAGGGGAGCTCTCACTGTCAGCGTTAATGCTCAAGGGCTTTCTTCAGGGATCCAGATTTACAAATGGAGAAAGGCTTTGATGTGATGATGTTATACCTGAACCCTTGAAATACCGATCATCTGCCTTTTGTGTTTGCATTCATTTACCTGTTTCATATACTGGGTGTTGATAGTACACTTACACTTTGTCTTTTGATTCACTCAGAAGCCTCATTTTTGTGAAAATCTTCAGAAATGAAGCATTGCCAATCATACAGAAAAAATAAAGTGAAATTATGTTTCACACAATGTAGTCAGGATGGAGTACAGGGAAAGGATCAAATTAAATTGAAAGAGACAGTGAGGGTCTGGGAAGAGTACAAAAATCACATGTGCCCAGAACAGCAGTGATGCCATTTTTTACTGAGTGCTTACTGCACAACGGGCCATGTACGCAGTCCTTCTTATAGGGGAGAAAACTGAGGAATGGGGTTAGATAGTTTGCTTAGAGTCTAGCAGCTAGCCAGTGTGTTGTGAGAGCAGAATCAGAGTCCCTTCAGTCTGGTGCTAAGGCTGGTTCTCATCACCTCTGTGCTACATTCAATGTTTGACTTTTTTTTTTTTTTTTAACTCTCTGTATTTTAAAATAAGCTGCTTTTTGTTTCAGCCCCTTAGGGTCAATGGTGTTAAGGTGTATACTGAAAATGTAGACAAAAGGCAGATTATTCTGGACCTTCAGATTAGGTAAGTTTTTTTATTTGTGTTGTACTTGTGTCATGGTTAGTGATGGATAATGTCACTTAGCTGTATCCACAAGGTGAAGAATATAGTGAACACATTTTTTACCTGTTGTTTATTGAATTTGACTAAATATCCTAGATAAATACCATTTATAAAATGTGTTAAATAAAAGGTATTGAAACATTGTAAGAAAACTGCAGACCAGTCAGTATCTCTTATGAATATTGATGTAAAAATCCTCAACAGATTACTAGCAAACCAAATTCAGYAGCATATTACATACTGTGAACAAGTAAGGTTTAATCTCAGAATGCAAGGGTGATTCAATATGTAAAATCAGTCCAGTTCTCAGGATTCCACCATGCGACCAGCGCAATGGTTTCATTAATGAGGTTCTTGGCATAAAAGTTAGCTAGCGAGATCGAAATAAAACACACAGACTCAGTTACCTTATTTCTATTGCCAGGTCCGAGAGTGCTCCCCTCTCTGGTTTCCTCCTCTAACCGCCCAGCAGGGCAGCAAGGATTACTCAGGGCTAGCAGGAGAGAGAGAGAGTGAGCATGCCAGGGAGTAGCCTTTTATTGGGGAACAAGAAATTCAGGGGAGAATTCCATCCAATGARGKTGGGGGGGGGGCTGCACTCCAAGGTCAGGGTCAGTGATTGGGCCCCCGGGGTCAGTGGTCAGTCACACCCCCACACGGACGGGTTCTCTCATCAGGAGAGGGCCGGGAAAGCTCCGACACAGCCAGAACGCCTCAGACCCAAACCAGGAGTCGCCCAGTCACGTGTGAGAGTGGCTCTCATGACCTAGATGCCTGTCACTTGGCCTCACCTCCCAACGCTGGAACTAAGGTTTTAACTCATGAACTTTTGGAGAACACACTCAGATCTTATCGGGGATAAACCCGAAAGAATTGAAGGCAGAGACTAGACAGATACTTGAACACCTTTGTTTATTATAGTGAATGTGCTGCATAAYTACACTTCCATCAATGGTAGACCAATTGTACAATGGTGGTCGCATAGGTGACTTTGCTCAGTGACAGGGTAGCCATTTAGATTTGCGTAAGTGTCCTCTGTGACATTAACACAATGATGGAATCCCCTGCTGATGAGTCTCTCAGAATGTATCCCTATTGTTAAGTGACACACAAATGTATTTATAATAGCTAATAGATAGAAGCAGCTCAGATGTCCAGGAAAGGATGAATGCATATACAAAATATGGTGTATACAAGTTACCCAGCCTTAGAAAAGAAGGGAATCCTGGCCCGTGTTGCAACGTGGAAGAGCACCGAGGTCATCATGTTAGTGAGGTAAGCCCAGTGCTAAAGGACAACTACAGTACAGTGCTACTTACTTAAGTAATCTAGAGCAAACAAACTCTGGGAAGCAAAGTAGAATGGCGGGCAACCAGGGACTAGAGGATGAGGAATAGGGAGTTAGTGTTACTGGGTACAAAGCTTCACTCTTTGCAAGAATAGAGGGTTCTGGAGATGGATGGTGGTGATGTTTGCATGGCCTTACGGATTTTTTTTTTTTAAAGAGAGAACTTTTTTAATATTTATTTTTTAGTTTTCGGCRGACACAACATCTTTGTTTTTTTTGTATGGTGCTGAGGATCAAACCTGGGCCGCACACATGCCAGGCAAGCGCGCTACTGCTTGAGCCACATCCCCAGCCCCCTTACGGATGTTTTTAATGCCACTGATCTATACACAGAATAGTTGCAATGATACATTTTATGTATATTTAAATTTTTTTTTTTTTAGTTGTAGATGAACACTACCTTTATTTTATTTATTTGTTTTTATGCGATGCCTAGGATTGAACCCAGTGCCTCACACATGCTAGGCAAGTGCTCTACCGCTGAGCCACAACCCCAGCCCATATTATGTGTATTTTAATACAATTTTTTAAGTTGCAAAACAAACAAAAAACAAATCTGAGGGTCTGCTAGGTACCATGCCTAGAATAAAAAAGGCGGATTTCCTTGTGTTAATGGTTTGGATGTGAGGTGTCCCTAAGAGCTTCGGTGTTGGAATGGCCGGAGGCGAGATGAGTAGATCACGAGAGCTGTGCCCTGATTACTCAGTCCATCCTAATCTGAATAGAGAAATACCAGGTGTTGGCTATGGGCAGGTGGGTGTGGTTGGAGGAGGGGGGTCCCTGGGGAYGTGGCCTTGGGATTGTATCTTGTCCCCCTGGCTCCTCCCTTTCTCCTTCTGCTTCTTGGCTGCATGTTCTGAGCTGCCTTCCTCAGCCATGCTTTTTTGCCAGGATGCTCTACTTTACCTTGGGCTCAGCAATGAAGTTGTCTAACCTTGGACTGAAAGCTCTGAAATCACCAGCCCCAAATAGACTTTCCCTCCTCTGAGTTGCTCTTGTCAGGTATTTTGGTCAGTGTGACAAGAAGCTGACCAGCGCGCATGCCTCTTGTCTTGGTTCTTATTGAATGTGCTTATGGCTTCCTGCATTCCGGTGTGGCCTGGCTGGCAGCTTGTTGTCACTCTTGACAGATATCTGAGATAAACTATTTATAAGGGATAAATTTATTTTGGCTCATGGTTTTAGTCCAGGGTCACTTGGCCTGTTTCCTTTGGGCCTGTGATGAGAAACAAGTCCCATCCGGAGCAATGGGAAAGGATACTGCTCACTGCGACTGCTGCGAAATGAAGAGAGAGGGAAGGGTCCCAGCATCCCCTTGGAGGGCATGCCCCCAGCGAATTGACCTCCTTCCACTAGGCCCCACCCCTTAGAAGGTCTGCCACCTCCCGGTAAGGCCAGGGCCAAGGCCTGAGCCTACAGCCCATGGGCCTTTGGGGGCATTTCAGATTCAGACTGTGACAAGTGCTCACAGACAGATGCCTGCTGTGCATGGTGAGTGCCAGACACTGCAGACGCAGGACAGCTGAACGGTTGTAGCAGTTCAGAGTGGTCTGTCCTAAAATGATCCTTGATTAAGGATCATTATATGTCATTTATGAGTTTTCAAACTAAGTTACAATCATACAATAACTGAATAGAGTAGGTACCAATTACCTTTAATTTAGAAAAGGACATAGAATGTCTTTGTTTGTATGTGGTGCTGAGGATCGAACCCGGGCCTCACGCATGCCAGGCGAGCGCGCTACCGCTTGAGCCACATCCCCAGCCCCATAGAATATCTTTAATATGAGAAAACCTGCACCTTTAAAAATGTTTGACATTTGTGCAAAAAACATTGTTATCAGTGGAATAAGAGAAGGGCCATTGTATCTTCATGAGGCTGTGGCCAGAAGACCTGTCCACAGGGCCAATGACAAGCTTCCTGGAGGCCCACTTGTGTTTCAGGGAGGTCCTTCTCTAGAATGCCTGTCCACGGGCTGATGATGAGCTTCAGGATGGTGGAAACTTTGTTCTTTTGTTCAGGTCCCTTAGCCCAAGTGAGTTTACTGAATAAACATTTGAGTAAATCAGTTAGTGGATGTCATTTGAAGATGCAGCCATAGCAGCATATGCRTTCTCCTTTTTTTTGAGTTCCATACAAAGTTCTTAACTACATTGGTAGTGGGGATGGGGAAAGAGAAATGGAAAAGCATTAGGAAATAAAAGGACAAAGTCTTAGGTGAAGAAAGGTAAAGTTTTGTGATGATTTTTGTARCAGGCTATTGGTGAGTTCACCAACTAGGAAGTATTCTCATTGAGAAGAATCTGTAGGTTTGGGCTTTAACACTAGGAAATGAGTCTTAGAAAAATTTCATCCCTGATCCCTTTTGTTATTGTTCTCCACATCTGGCTCGGCACTCCTGGACCGTGCTCGTCAAATTCCATAAGAGTGCCTAAGCAGGAATGTGATGCCCTGCTGCAAAGGCCAAGCATCGGCTCCAGTCCTGCCCTGCCCTGTGCAATACGTATTTGGCTTATCATGTTCTTATTGAAAACAGCACACTTTGCAATCAGTGTCATAGTGGGTTCACATTTGTTGATCACTGTAAAGGTAAGCCCTGAACAGACCTATGGTGTCTAAYCTATGGCGTCACAGAGCCATGGAGCACCGGAACCAGAGCATGTTCATGACTGGAGAGAAGGGGTATAGAATTTCCTAGTGATGAAATGAAATCAAAACCTTTTTATGTTTTAAGCAAACAGGATTTGTATGACAAGTAAGAACTACATTTCACCCAGTGATCCAGGAGTTGCACTTGTAGTTCACATTTTATCTTTGGAAATGGACACTTACTTTAGTTGAGTGTTTATGTATGACAGGTGTGCGAATGGCAACCCTCCCTGGTGCTGTAGCAGGATTAGGTCTGGTAACAGCTGTGCCTGTGACCTAGAGCAGCAAAGTGCATAACTCGGGTCACACTGTCCAGTTTTCACCTTCAGTCTGATTTTGGTTGCTTTACTGTTGTAATATTCTGGCTGTAAACCTTGAGGTTCTATGGTGATTTAAAAAACAGTTAATTTCACTCGCTTTATGTAATGCAGATTTTTTTCTTTGCTAGTTTTGTAGGAAATTGTGAGATCGATTTGGAGATCAAACGATATTTTTGTAGAGCTGGTGTGAAAAGTATACAGGTACCTTTTTTAAAATTTCATTTATAAAATTCTCTAATCYGTATTCAAAAAGAAAATTAAGTTTGTCCTAGCTCAGAAAGTTTTTAAAGTGAGTGTGTGTTTGTGATCGTAGAGTGACCCAGGAAGTCAGATGCTTGAAAGTCCCTGGTGGCCCTGCAGAGCTACCTTCTCTTACACATTCTGGTTTCCTGTTTGCGTTTAGATCCACGGAACGATGAGGGTGATCCTGGAGCCTCTGATTGGAGACATGCCTTTGGTTGGAGCTCTGTCCATCTTCTTCCTCAGAAAACCAGTAAGTCAACACTTGTGCTATGTTTATGGACCTACAGAAGAATAGGTAAAGTGAAGGACAAAATTCTAYCTGTAACTTACTCGTTTCCCTTTCTGATGCAGGTGTCCTGTGAGTTTTTTCATACTCTTTGTGCCTTCACTGAGGACTTCATCTCTTGATAAGCAATGTTCCTTTGTGATTATGAAAATGATTGTTGTAGAAAATTTGAAAACACAAACTTTTTAAAAAGTGTAGGTTTAGCAACCATTTTATTTAGTGCCTGTCACTGAGGGTAAGTGATAGAGTCTTGCTCTTTTAACCCTCATGCCTCCAAATCAGGAAGTGGGATTGAGAGGTCTGTTTGTCCAGGTCATACAGCTACTGAGAGCTGGAGCCTGCATGTAGATCTGGACTAGCCATAGAGAACCATGTTTGCAACACTTCATACAGTGTCTTACCTGAGACCCCTCTCTGCTCCCTCCCGAGACAAGTGCTGCTATCTACTGGATGTGTTCCTTCCCTTTGGGGGGTACATTTGATCAACTAGGCATAGTATTGTGTACTGTGTTTTAAAATGAAATACTTTTCTTGACTTGGATAAGCTATCAYGTTACCATCTCGTAATGTTAGATATGTAAACAGGCAGTATTTATCACTTACTATTAACAAAACACATGACAACACAACTATTGCTTCTACCAGACAGAGTCCCTCCTTCTCTGAGCACCGCAGCCTCTGACTGGCACTGTCTCAGTGTGCACTCCTATTAGATGCAAATTGACCACTGGGAGTTGCCCTACCCTTACAGACAAGACCACAGTGACACGGAGGAATTTCTCTCTCAGCCTCATTTCCACTGCTGTTCCAGCCACAGGGAATGAATGACACCAGGAAAATTGTCAGCTCCCTCTTCCATTGCTTCCTCCCTTTTCTTTCTTTCTTTCTTTTTTTTTTTTTTTTTGGTGCCAGGGATTGAACCCAGGGGTGCTCAGCCACAGAGCCTCATCCCTAGCCCCTTTTATGTTTTTGAGACAGGGTCTCACTAAGTTGCTGAGGCTGGCCTTGAACTTGTAGTCCTCCTGCCTCAGCCTCCTGAGTTGCTGGCATGCACCACCGCACCTGGCTCCTCCCTCAACTTTTTCCTTCCACCCAGAATGTTGGTTTCAATTCCCCTCTCCCACACTCACTTATTTCCAGAAAATTTCCACATGTCCCTTCATGGGACAGAGTACCATTTTAGGCCATTGTAGGTAATTCTGAAAGCAAGGGCAGCTGTCTCCATATAGCTCAGCAGATGTCTGCAAGTGAACAGCTTCTTCTAGGTCTGCCACTCCAGGGAGTCCTGAGAGTCCTCTGGGAAGGTGCCTTTAATAGCATTGTAGTTTAAAGCAGGAATGCTAATTCATATAGGCTGATTCAAACAACATAATTAAAAGTATCGTTTTGTTTTGTTCTTGGCACTAGGGATTGAACCTAGGGGTGCTTAATCACTGTGCCACATCCCCAGCACTTTATTTACATTTTATTTTGAGACAGGGTCTCACTAAGTTACTTAGGGCCTTACTAAGTTGCTGAGGCTCTCACTAAGTTGCTGAGGCTGGCTTTGAACTTTCAGTCCTCCTGCCTCGGACTCCTGAGCTGCTGGGAATATAGATGTGCTCTATTGTTTTTAAAATATGGGTTTATCTAAGTCAAACTAAGTGTAGTGCAGGTTGTACTTTTTAAAAAATTTTTTTAGTTGTACATGGACACAATACCTTTGTTTTATTTATTTATTTTTATATGGTGCTGAGAATCTAACCCAGGGCCTCGCATGTACTAGGCGAGCACTCTGCCACTGAGCCACAACCCCAGCCCCGCAGGTTGTACTTTTTCTGTGGAAAGACAGAATTGTGTCTTCGCTTTCTGTAACCACTAACATTTTTGTTCTCATTGACTCATTGCTTAAATCATGGACTTATTTTAAATGCATTTTAAGCCTATAGAACATGTAAAATTTTAAAGCTTCTAGAGTCTGTATCAAATTTTACTTGTTTAAAATTTTGGGAAATGAAGAAATCCATAAAAAATTTCAAATTCATATTTTAATCTGGGATATAGCTCAGTGGTAGGGTATTCACCTAGCATACTTGAGGCCCTCAGTTCAATCCCCCAGCACAAAAATAAATGAATGAATGAAAAATAAATAAAATTCTTGTTTTTTCACATATCAGTTATTTTAAAGCCAGTATGTATAAGAAACTGACTTTCCTAATGACTGTGAAAAGTTAATCTTAGGCACTGTAGCACATGGCTGTAGTTCCTGAGGCAGGAGGGAGGATCAGTTGAGGCTAGGAGTTCAAGGCTGGCCTAGACAACACAGAGAGAACCTGTCTCTTGAAGTGAGAGGAAAAGAGAGAATAGGGGCTGGGGGTGTCTTAGTGGTAGAGTGCTTGCCTAGCATGCGTGAAGTGCTAGGTTTGATCCTCAGTGCCATTGGGGGAGGGGACTCTTTAGCACATTGCTGAAGAGTTTAAATTTACTCCTCCTCGGCTGAGGGCATTCTTCACAATTTACCAAAAAGTCTTTTTTTTTTTTTTTTCCTGGAATGTAACAAAATCCAAATATTTTAGTCTTCTTCAAAATTTAGCAGTGCTCTTACTTAGTTTGGATCTTCTACAGATTAATTTACTTTAAAATAACTTTACAGTATTAACCTCCAAATTATATTTTTTTGCCCAAGGGATGAGACTGAAAGTGCAGAATCTCCCATCTCCTTATATGGTGAGTAAAGTCACCAAACATGCCTCAGAGGGAAGGAAATTTTTTTAGTTACTTTTAGCTGGAAAATATGAGAATGGATTTATTGCTAGCTGCCAAGTAGTTCTCCCTCACCCTGGTAAAAAATGCAGTAGAAGGACTTTTAGTTTTATTATTTTTTACTGTCTGTCTGATTTGGAAGTAAGTGCCGGAGATTCATGTGAAACTTACACATTTTTCTGCTTGTTGATTTGCTCACATTAGTTTTGAAAATATGGAATTTGTGGGAAAACCCCACACTTACTGAAGCGATAGGCTTTTGGGGTCAGGGGAAGACAGTTTAATGTAGCAGGCTTCCTACCACTTGGTTCCACTCCTGGTTCTTTCTCTTCCTGCTGTGTGCTTTGAATAGCTCATTTCATTTCTCGGAGCCTCAGTTTCCCTGTCTGTAACATGGGGGTGACAGCATGATTAAATGTGAGAATTAAAGGTCAGTTCATATAAAATGGACAATGCCTGGCACATAGTGAGTCTTTAGATTTTTAAGACATTAAACATTTTGCTACACTCAGATTTCACATTCTAGCTCCTGAACACTAGAGGTGAGTTATGGTGATTGGAAAGAAGGAAAACATGAGCCAGTGTTCTGATAAGGGCTGAGGTTCAGTGACCAAGTTCTGCTTAGCACGTGCTGGGGCACTGCAAAAAACAACTCATAAGAACCAAAATGGTGCCTGTTACCTTGGCTGTTGTCCCAGGGAACCTTCTGATGTGCCTCAGGTGTGCATTCTCAAGGGTGTTAACCCAGAAGTGCCCTGAAGCTGAGGTGAACCGAGGTCCCTGGCAGGGCTTGCTCTGGATGTGTGCATCTTTCAGGACTCCTTCCATCCAGGAGGGAGGGGCTGCTGCTGATGTCTTTTGAGCCACAAATTTATTTCTTTATCTGGCAAATGGAAATGATATCCTCCTTTTAGAGTTAGTGTGAGAAGAACTTGAGTCCTATTAGACTAAGATTCGAGAAATTTAAGTATTTTGAATGGGGCAGCAGAGGAGATGAACTTAATTACAAATAACAGTAGCATATGTTGTTGTCTCGTGAGCCTCACATGAGGGCTGCAGGCGAGTCCCAGGACAACCTGGAACCAGGAATCACGCAGGTGGCAGCTGCCAAGCTTYTGCTCCACTCCTCCCTCCGAGACCAACTTTGGTTCTCTAGCCCCTGCCAGARTCATGCCACTGCACCCCCCGGAGGCTCCGAGCCTCCCTCCTTCCGCTCTCACACTGGACCAGGCCTGGGGAGGGGGGACGAGGGGGTGGACGAAGCTTGAGGAGCTCACCCCTGCTGCCGGCAGGCCAGCTGCAGACACATCCAGACTCAGACCACACCTTAAGGGACTCGAAAACTCTGGGGACATTTATTCTGATAAGTTTCACGGAACTGTGATTTGAACTCTTTCATTATTTTGACAGCCTTGTCCTACCCCTTGTGGTCCTTGTCTATACTGGGCCTTGGGGTGAGCTCTCTCAGCAGCTGCCCCTCCTCCATGTGTCCTTTGTCTGTGGTGGGTCTTGTGGTACTGAGACTCTCCTGCCACACCCCCAAGGGACCTCGCTTTGGGACCTCACCTGTGCTTCCTTCCCCCAGTGGCCTCTGTCCTTTAAGGTGGAGGGAGGACGGGGCTTTCTTTGTGCCTTTCTGCAGTGCTCCCCTTCCTGACCACTCTCCTGCAGAAGTGCAGGTGGCTTCCGGCATGCATGCCCAGTGTCTGTGGGTCTCTGGCTCACCCATGTTTGGCCTTTGGTCTTTCTTTAGGGTCTAGCTGGACTCATCTCACTGCCCAGTAGGGGCCTTGTCCTCTTCCATGCTCAGCTCTCCCGTGCCATCAAGAGTGGTACTTGTTTCACTGTTCCATACTCCAGGTGAGAGCTGGACATCTGGGACTTTAAAACATAAGGAAAGCATTCTTGAACTTCAACTCCAACCCAAATCACTGAATCAAAAACACTGGGAGAAAACCCCTCTAGAGAAGAATAGAGCCGTCAGTTTGTATTCTTAACAGATTCCTGGGTGCCTGGCCTGCGTTGACCTCCCAAGGGCCACTCGTGCTCAGAACCAGCAGTGGGACTGCCCYGTCAGACAGTGCATCCCCTAGCAGTAGGGAAGGGCCTCTGCTGTTCATGAAACGCGTGATGTGTCTCGCTGTTCAAGTGAAACCTGGTGTGCTTTTCCAGCTGCCGCTCGTGTTCTGCTTCTCAYGGAAGAGCCACCAGCGCCCAGAGATAACTTCTGTGCTTGGAAACACATTTCCACTCCCTGCTCAATCTCTGAAACAGAGCTCTTAGTCATCCAGAAGCACTGGCTGCGTTTTCCCTCAGGAATCTTGGAGCCCTGTAGAGGCCGCAGGGGCAGCTTCTGGCCTGCTTTTGCGAGGCACTTCCCAGAGCACTGCCTGGGTCAGGCCGCTCCCAGCTCTTCTGTGTCCTGTCTGACTTCCAAGGGGAGCTGTTGAGCTCTGTGCATACATGCTCTCACTCTCATCCTTGACCTCACCCACCACACACTGGGCCTCACACATTTGTCCTCTCACTCATCTTCACACTCATCCTCACCCACAGGCTTGCCCAGTCTCCCCCACTGATCTCCAGAGCCGGGTTCCCCTGCTCCCAGCTCCTGTGCCCAGGGGCAAGCCATGTACTGCTCAGTGTCTTGAGTATGGGGACCTTTCCTTTCCCAGGGCCTGCCTTCTTGCATTCAGAGTCTTCTCAGAACCCAGCTCAGTCCTGCCCTCCCTCGGATCCTGCCCCTGCCTCCTTGAAGGTTTGTTTCTGTGAACTTCAGCAGCACTCAGGTGCATCTCAGTCATTTCAGGGAGGCTCATGTGAGAGGAAGAAGCATGAATAAACTTCATCCAAGCCAAGCTGGCGATGCTCAGGAGCAGGTGTGGCCAGGGTGGTCCCTTATGGAGCAACTGGAGGACAGGGAGGCCATGCAGAGCAGGGCTGCCTTAGAGCAGAGGCCATCCTTTAAAAACGTGGGTCCCGTGGGGAGACCCTGCTGTCCTGCTGTCGCGCAGCTGTGGAGTAAAGGGTTACAAGTGAAATCACTTCCTCTGGGTCTCAGTTTTCTTATCTATAAAACTCAGATTTGATCKTTCTCAGTTCCATGACAAATCCTAAATTTGAACCTACTTTTTAAGCCAGTTTTATACATATAACTTTAAAATGTATATCTGTTTTGCTTCCTTTTTTGACTTATTCCAATAAACCTTTAAGCTCTTGTGTAATGCTTTCATGCTCTTTGAAAAACATTATAATTTTCCCCTAGTTTTGATGCCCTTTGCCCTTGCTTCTGTGGCAGAAAGACATCTTTCTGAATTCTCCATCGTCTTCATAGAGTTGGTTTTTGGTTCCCACAAGTACAGCTAGTGCCCATTTGTGGAGATTTTACTTTTCAGCTAGGAGCAGTTTTTAGTATTTAAAATACTAGAAAATGTTTATTTTAGTGTCATATCATAATTTTAAAATCTTCATGAAATAGCAGRCTACTCATAGGCAGATGAACATCGTTTCCATCAGTTAAAACAGAAGCATACTTTTTTTAAAAAACATTTATTTTTTTTAGAAGTAATTGGACACAATACCTTTATTTTATCCATTCATTTTTATGTGGTGCTGAGGATCTAACCCAGAGCCTCGCACGTGCTAGTCGAACGCTCTACCGCTGAGCCACAACCCCAGCCCAAGAAGCATACTTTTTTAAACAAAACAATTAGAGGCCAGCCAGAACACACTTTATACTGGGTTTTCTTTTGTTCTGTTCTGTGTTTGGTTTAAGAGGCAGGGTCTCACTATGTTGCTCAGCTGGCCCTGAGCTCCTGGGCCCAAGCCATCCTCCTGCCTCAGCCTCAGCACCACCGTGCTGGCTACAAGGATTTCTCTACAGCACAATTGTACAGGACATAGTTAAGTTTCCAGCATCAGCCTGGGGCATGTCTTGTATTCTCCACTGATCTGCAGCAGGGTACATCTGGAGGAAAAGCTGATGAGTCACTATAACTAGAGTTAATTCTTGGGTTCTGGGTTATAATCTTGATCAAACAAGCAAGATATCAAAACTGGTTGTGGGCATGTGTTTGGGATTGCTGCGTGCGGTAAGAGCATGAAGCATGTGAATCTTGGGGAACAGGACTGGGAGCAGATTTCTTTGTTGTTGTTTATTCACTTCATACATGTTTTTGTCTTTGACAATTTGTGACAAGTTACATTTGTCCTTTTTTTGCATTTTTATCCAGAATGCAATTTATGTGGCGGTTCAGCCTTCTTAGTTTAGGCCAGTCTCTATTTCACCTGAGTATTTTAGCAGGTCCAAAACACCAACTAAAATTAGCTTCACACTGTCTTTAGTTCTAAAGCCAGCCCTTGTCTCACTCAAGTATTTAACAGGTCCAAAAATACCATGAGGCCACTTGGAAACATAATAAAGTCTCATTACAACACAGCTCTCAAGTATTCTGCATTATATTCTTCTCCTTAAAAGATGACTACTTAACAGTGCTATTAATAGGATTGTTAATTCTGTTTCCCAAAACGTGAGTGTCATACTGCTCTAAGCAGGTTAGGACTGCAGTCTCCAAGGTGGCCGYGCAGTGACGCGTGGTCGCAGCACTTGGAGGGGAGGTGTCTGTAAGAGGCGCTCTTCACTGCGTGCCGTGCCGCTGTGGACTTCCCATGGTGGTGTCGCTGGCTCTCCTGCAGAAGCTTACCACCTCCCCTCAGCAGGGCGGCCCTGTCCTGGGGCTYTCTGGCTCCCCATCTCGGCTCTGCAGATGCTGCAGCCGTGACGCAGGCATCTTCTGTGAGAGCACCACATAAAGTGCTCACATTTGAACTTGAGTCAAATGCAAAGATTCCACACTGCACCTCTGAGCATTCTGTGGTCAAGAGAAAGRGCCTTCGAAACCCACAATAAAACCCTGTCGCAGCGTCCTCATCAATCTGCAGCTGCCTCGTGTGCACGTACTTTTAGAGGTCGGGGGTGGTAACACTGGGGAGCACCCTCTCCTTCCTCAGWTCTGAAACGTCACAGTGCTTCTCAGTCTGCCCAGACTGTAACTGTCCAGCCCTCACATAGCGTGTCTCTCTGGTTGTGGCATATGCCATGCTCACAGCAGTCCTTCTGGTGGTCAGAGGGTTGCCCAGCCCTGGAATCGGCCCTTTTCCAAGGCCTGGTCCCTCCTTCTGGAAGCTCTGTAGATCTTAGGCAGGCTCCTGGTGGTGTTGCCCCCTGGTGGCCATCTCCTCTGGGCCTGATACTCAACTCCATATGCAAGATTAACTACCTGTTATTTTTCTTATTTTCTTCCCAGGTTTCATGTATCACTTCTATGCTGAAAAAAAAATTATAGTTTTTAATTGATGCTTTTTTCCCCTTAGTTTAGTCTATCCAACAGAATCTTGACTCTCAATTCATATTTGTGTGTAACCACTGACTTCCAGGGCAAATTTGAAGAGTTTTGTTTCCCTGGCTGTGAACGCCCCGGAGAGCATACAGCTCACCTAGCATTTTCCTCCATGAGTACAACACACAAGTAGTTTTACTGCATGATTTACTGCGTGATTCCATTTGATAGGAAAAATAGTTTTTCCAGTCAGTGGTTTTAACTAGTCCACGTCCACTTAATGGGATCTTGGCTAACTAGAGGAGTTCCTTTCTGAGATGGTGGATGACCAGTGTCACACAAGTGGGTGGATGTATTTAATTTGAAACGCAAATTAAAGCAGTAATAAAGTACCATCATTTGGGCTGCTTTTTAATATCTTTTTTTAAAATTATATATTCTTGTTTATTATACATGTAACATCTGTTTTTGGTACAGGTATGTGAAAGACATTTTCACACATTTTTGTTGGCAATGTAAATTGGAAGCAGTATTTTTGGAGGTCAGGTTCATTTATGAAAACGAACATAAATTTTTAGCTTCAGATCTCACTTTTTTAATGCTAGTCTGCATATGTATATGAGAAAATGTGTGTAGAAAGACATTCACTAAATCATTACTTGTAGTAGAAGAGAAATTTCAAATGTTGGGAGTGCCTGTCTGTAAGAGGATGGGCAAACACATCATTATATAGTTCTTCTAGAGAAGACCACGGCAGTGTCGCAAAGCAAAGCCAAAGGCAGATCTGCACACACAGGGAGGAAGCATGTCCTTGACCCACCCCGGGGTGAGCCCTGGGGAGGTGACAGACGCGAGCTGTGTGCATTGGATTATACGGCTGGAAGCAGTTGGATACTTAACGTTTTTGCCCCCCTTTCTTTAAACAGCTGTTAGAGATTAACTGGACAGGACTGACCAACCTCCTGGACATCCCTGGATTGAAGTAAGTCCTGTGTGCGTCCTGTCGCAGTTGGCTGGTAGGTGAGGCCTGGTCTCTCAGTGTCTGAAAGCGGGCCTCCCAGGTGGGTTGTGGCTGCCGCCGGCTCCTGGAGGAGCAGTGGGAGCCGGGGAGCACTGCCCTCCCAGCCCCCCCAGGCTCAGGAGTGTGCTCCATGGAGCCTCRGCCCCCTTGGCTTTCTGGTTTGTCCTGAGGCATTGTCCCAGTTGTGGCATTTCAGAAAAGTAGCAGCCTTTTAATGTTCTGTAAAATTAATTCTTAACTTGAGTTTTACTATTTTTCCATAAATAATAGAGAAAACTTGAGAAAATGAATCTGCTTCAAAACTGACCCTTTCTGTCCCTTTTTATGTTCTTTCCAAACTGTGGCTGCCCTTGTCCTTCCTCCTTGAAAGGATTGGGTCCACAATGGAACCTAGGTGTGAAATTTCTGTATCATATCATTAGAAATCCCTTCATTAATCTGTAACAATTTAGTATCTGAAAAACAAGAAAAAATGCCCCTTAAAAAGCATCTGAGAGGGTTGGGGCTCAGTGGTAGAGCACTTGCCTAGCATGTATGAGGCACTGGGTTCCATTCTCAGCACCACATAAAGATAAATAAAGGTCCATCAACAACTAAAAAAAAAAGTATCTGAGAGCCATTAGAGGTGGCGCACACCCATGATCCCAACTACTCAGGAGGCTAAGTCGGAGGATCAGGGCCAACCTGGGAAACTTAGTGAGAGCCTATCTCAAAAAGGGCTGGAGATGCGGCTCAGTGGTAAAGCTCCCTTGGGTTCAGTTCCCAGTACCAAAACTAAATTTCAGAAGCATCTGAGACCATGAAAGACGTGTGCCACAGCTGCACACAGTACCCCCACCACCCTGCCCCGGGTAACTCGGGGGTGATGGACAGGCCCTCAGCCTGTCAGCCACCACCAGACAGCAACCTGTGAAAGTACAGCGTTGTCAACGCACTCATCACGCTCTCAGGGAGCTTCACCTTCCACTGGTGTTTCCCCACTCACAGAGCATTCTTGGAGGGATGTCAGGCAGATTGTGAGTCCCTCCTGCTTTTCGGCATTCAGGATCCTGCCTTCCACAGCTGCTGCCAGCCTCTGCTCGGTAGACAGCAGCCTCTGTCAAAAAATGAACCCTTTGACCAGGCGCGGTGGCGCACGCCTGCAATCCCAGCGGCTCTGGAGGCTGAGGCCGGAGGATTGCAAGTTCAAAGCCAGCCTCAGCAAAAGTGAGGTGCTAAGCAACTCAGGAGACCCTGTCTCTAAATAAAATACAAAGTGGGGCTGGGGATGTGGCTCCGTGGTCAAGTGCCCCACTTGAGTTCAATCCCCAGTACAAAAAAAAAAAAAAAAAAAAAAAAAAAGAACCCTTCTCACTAGTTCCAGAAAAGGTCCCAGGGTTAGCAGATGTGTCCACAATTTCTATGATTCTGTGTACCCCTAAAGGAGGCTAAGAAATGGGTTAGTTGCTTGGGAAAACCCTAGTGAATGGGATATCCTTCAGTGGAAGCAGGGGAATGGACACGGGGTAGCTAGGCGGAAACAAGAAGCATCTCTTCAGGCTAGTGTAGAAAGGTTTATTCTAGTTAGGTGTGACGGTACATGCCTGCAGTCCCAGCCCCTCGGGAGGCTGAGGCGGGAGGGTCTCATGTTCCAGGCTAGCCTCGCACCTTAGTGAGACCCCCTTTCAAAATGAAAAGGGTGGGAGTGTGGCTCAGTGTAGAGTTCCCTGGGCTCCATCCCTAGTATTGCAAAAAGGACAAAAGAAAGTCTCCTTTTGCTTTGCTTCCCTTCAGTGTTGTGAGTGCAACAACTGTGTATACGTCAGTCTGCCCTGAAGTAAAGGTGGACTTATTGATTGTTGCCTCTAATTCACACCATCTTACCACCTGAAGGGTGACATCCAAGGCGTGCAGGCTCTGGCAAGACTGTAGCCAGTCTCAGATCACATATGCACACAATGAACGTACACATCTAGCTTCATTTTATTTAATATGCTTCTAGCCATTAGTTTATGTATAGATCTTATGTATATATTCTATGAAGTATTCCTATATAATCTTCTCTGTATGTAGAATCATATTAAGATAGACATTTATTGAGCTAGAGCTGTAGCTCAGTGGTAGAGCGCTTTTCCAGCATGTGTGAGGCACTGGGTTTGATCCTCAGCACTACATCTAAATAAATAAAATAAAGATGTTCACTTACAACTAAAAATATTTTTAAAAAGATATACACTTATTTTAGGCTGGGGTGGGCTCAGTGGTAGAGCACTCGCCTTGCACATAAGGCACTGGGTTCGATCCTCAGCACTACTATCAAGTGAATCAGAGCTACAGCAAGCCTATGTTATAGGTGTTTTCTAAAAAGGTGAGTGTTCAGCACTGCGTCTGACAGGATGAGCTCTGGGGAGGCGTGTGAGCCAGGAGCCAGCCAGGCAGCCAGCACTGCACTCAGGATGCAGAAAGGAAGCCACGCACCATGGAGGGRGTGGTACCGCAATACTTCCGTGGCCACCGTGCGTGGCCACCCCTGCCGCAGCACCCTGCCAGGAGGAAGGTGGAAGGTAGAGAGGCGAGTGAGGGCTGGCAGGCAGCAGCAGTGCTCCAGGACAGGATGGGGAGCGGTGCCTCCCAGACCAACCGCTGCTGCCTCGGGGGCGGCGAGGAAGCCAGGAGCAGCCTGTGCACCAGGATCCAGGAAGGCGCTGGGAGTTGTGGGAGGAGCAGGGTCTGTGGAGTGCTGGCCAGTGGCCACTGGCTCCTGGACACCAGGGCAGGTGTGGCAGTGCGGCGTGAACTGCACAGGTGTTACCATCCAGGGGTGCTGGGTTGATTGACTCCATTCAGCAGAGAACTAAAGAGCAGGATAGAGACAGCAGTCAACGGGTTTACTGCACAGGCCACAGACGGACTTCTCCGGAGAGGAGGGGCTCCAGAGCCAGTCGTCTGGTGGAGGGGTTTGACCTGTCCTTCTGTGGTCTCTGGTCTTCTGCGTATCTCCTGTCGTCCACATGCTTCTCACTGTTATTGATACGTGCCCCCCATGTCTGCACATCTGTTTTAGTTTTCTATTTCTTAGGAGCACTAGTACAGACATGTCTGTCTGATTGGGTCCCCCGCTTGTGGGAAGTTGACCTCCTCAGAAGACCCTCTGCCTGCTCCTTTGTTCTGACCCTGCCCTAACTTCCTCACTCACCATCCTACTCTGGCGGCCGGCACCCTTCTGCTTCTCTCTCCCTCACCAGCACAGCAGCAAGGGGGTGCTCCAAAACCCCTTACCCAGGGACTCTTCCGGTGTGAACACAAGTGGTTTCTACGTAAGAACACCGTAGGTTCCAGAGCACCCAGGACCATCCAGTACCTCCTTAGACAGCCTGTGTTCAGCGCCCCGAGCTTGAGCCCTCCAAGTCTGTTCGGGGCCTGAGGCAGGAGGATCTCAAGTTTGGCCAGCCTCAGCATTTCAGTGAGGCTGTCTCAAAATATAAATTAAAATGGGTTGTTGGTGTAGCTCTGTGGTACAGCACCCCTGGGTTCAGTCCCACGTGCCACACACATGCATGTGCGCACACACACAGTATGTTTGTTCCTTTATTCTAAACAATTATATTCTTGTTACCGAGTTTGCTGTGCAGCGGTATATAGAAGTTCAGAATTGTTAGTTGTATGAAGAGAGCAATGAAACCCTTATACTTTGGGAGAAATTCAATATGTACACAAACATGGAGCCGGTTAATGTATATGTTAATAGAAATTTAGAGAAATACTTTAGTTAGGTATTAAATCTTTGACGAAGCCGGGTAGAAGTACCTGGAAGGTTATTTAGAAATTATGAAGGGTAGCTAGAATTTATTTGTAATCTAAGAATAAGTTCTCGCTCCTGGTTACATGCAGCAGCCCAGCCGACGCCCTGAGTGCTGGCTTTAGATGTTATGTTGGAGAAGCAAGCCTGCTCCTGCCCTGTGAGCAGACACCACCTTGTGTTGGTGGTGACATTTGTTAAAGTTGATAGCAAGTGTTGACATATCTGATTGTTTTTTCTTTTTACCTCCTAAATAACAGTGGCTTATCTGATACTATCATTTTGGATATAATATCAAACTACTTGGTGCTTCCCAATCGAATTACTGTTCCTCTTGTCAGCGAAGTTCAGATAGCCCAGCTGCGGTTTCCTATACCAAAGGTAAGTGTGCCATAGCCTCCTGCGTTTCAGACACGTGGTGGGCGGCCTTTTCAGATAGGTGGGTCTTGTGACCCACCACATGGGTCTTGACATAGCAACAGCTGTCCAACCACACTCCGAAGAGAGGTGCTGCTGCGCGTCAGGCCTGGAGTCTGTCAGAGACTCCAGGGCAGCTCTGGACCTCAGTCCCTTCCCTCCACAGTGCAGAGGGTGTGCAAGTTCTCAGGACTGCCAGGGGCAGCAGACAACCTGGTCACCACCGCAGGCATCCGTCACATTTGTTTGTAATAGCTCTCAGCCACAAGCACAGTGACTTGAGAGGATGAGGATTTTGATATGAAGATGTGTATCAGCTTTCTCTGGGACACTGGGAAATGGTTAGCTTGGCGTCACCTGATGAGTGATGTGGTAAAAGAGGAGCTTATGAAACAGCTCACTTGGACAAAATTGGATGAGCAGATTCTTGAACTGAGTGGCACATTGTTTTGTGGATGTGTGACTTGGACAGTTGGGCCTCAGTTCCTGCAGCTGTAAGATGGGGTAACGGGGCCCACAGGGCTGTGTCCCAGACGTCAGCGTCCCCTTCATGCTTTCACACAGAGGTTGTGAGCCCCTTTGCCTGAGTGTGGAACCCCACTGGTCCTGAGGGTATGGTGTTCCTGAGTGTGCCAGCCCCTTGGGCCAGGTGCCACCTCCTGACTCTGTCTGGACTGTAGCCTCCAGTTGTAAGGGAGACAACTGCTGTGGTGCAGTAAGGCCCAGCACCGACACGTGTCAGGCCACTTTCACTGAAACAGAGGCAGGTGGGTGCTGTTTCAAGAACGTGTGGTTCTCGCCTGTCTCCTGAGCTGGAGACAGCTGTCCACACCTTCTCCATTTTTGGTTAAATTAGATGTTAGCAGCAGTCCATAGATCATCAGGCCTTCTTGAGCACTCTTGTGTTTAAGAGTCACCCAGAGGAGTCGTGCCGTTGGCGTTTGACGGATGTGATGTGACACTAAGGTGGAGAGGAGTGTCCCCTCTGGAGATGCAGGTGGAAATTGTCATGCTCCTCGGCTGTGTGGGCCTTCTGTGCCCTGAGTGCAGCAAGCCCCAATCCTACCTGGATCTTGCTGCCCTTCACCCCACAGGGCCTAAGAGCCAGATCTTTCAGGCGTTAGCCTTAGGCAAGCATGAGAAAAAAACATCTCACTGTGTGTCCACAGAGCGCTTGTCTTCCTGTGCCAGTCCAGTTGGGGTACTGCCTCTGATTCTGTTAAGAGTTGGGTGCCAGAATGCTACCCTGCTAAACTTTACCACCTTTGTTTGCTTTGAGAGAAACATGAGTAAATGTTTTCTTTTCAGTCAAACAACATTTGAGAAAAAAATACTGTATTGAAGTTGATGGGTAATGCGTATTTCAAAGTTCCAATGTTGTCCTCTATAAAGCAGGTTTTATAACAGCACTTCATACCCTTCTAAAACTGTGCACGCCTGTAATCCCAGCGCGCAGGAGGCCGAGGCAGAAGGGTTGTGAGTTCAGAGCCAGCCTCAGCAACTTAGTGAGACCCTGTCTCTAAATAAAATATTTTAAAAGGGGTTGGGATATGGTTCAGTGGTTAAGCACCCCTGGGTTCAATCCCCGGTTAAAAAAACAAACTGGGTGTCATGGCTATATCCAGGGCTGATGTTTCCTGTTGTGTTCATCCTTGCTTTCTTAAGACCAGACCCAAGCTTGCTGGCAGCTTACACAGGCCTGTGAGCCCCAGGACCTCTACTCAGGGTCTCTTTGCCAGGGAGCTCTCTGCAGGTGTCTTTGGCTCCGTCTCTCCTGTGTCTGAGGTGTGTCCATTCTCCCTTCTAGACAGCTCCACTCCTGTGCTCTCACCCACCAACCTCCACCTCAGTACGGGGATCAACCCCAGGGTCTCACACATGCGGGGCTAGTGTCCCACCCCTGAGCCACATCGCTGGCCCTGTTTTATTTTGAGAAAGGGCCTGGCTAAGTTGCTGAGGCCTTGAACTTGAGACCCTCCTGCCCTAACCCCCCATAGCTGGGATGATAGGTGTGTGCCACAAGCCCAGCAACTGTCACCTTTTCTCAGCCCTTGTTTTGTGACCTGCCCCATCTCCGCTGCCTCTGCTGGGATATATGCCAATGGGAAGAAGGTCTTCGTTTTGCTGCCTCGGCAGTTCTTAGGGCAGGGTCAGGCACGCAGCTGCCTCCAGTTCTCCATAAGTGAACCAGTGAATGATGAAGATGGCCTGGACTTCTTTTCAGGGTGTCCTAAGGATACATTTCATTGAAGCTCAGGATCTTCAGGGGAAAGATACTTATCTTAAGGGCCTTGTCAAGGGAAAGTCAGATCCCTATGGAATTATCCGAGTGGGCAACCAAATCTTCCAAAGCAAGGTCATCAAAGAGAACCTGAGTCCGAAGTGGAATGAGGTGTATGAGGTAAGGCTGGTGCCCTGGGTGCTGAGCAAGGGCGTTGGGGGTCTGCTCCAGGTCTGCTGTGCAGAGGCATGGCCAATTGAGACCATTGTTTCACTTCTTTGTATTAATTTCCCTTTCTTTAAAAGCATTGTACCCTCTCTCCCTTCCTCATAATGTTCTTGCCATGTGAACACATAGGTTTTTAAACCTTAATTATATAATGATATCATCATGAATAATTGGCAAAAATATTTTTCATAATGTGAATAGTTTGTCTTTTTCTAAGTAAGAAACATTATGTGTTGTTTTTAACACAAACACAAAAAAGACATTATGTTGTATTGCAGACTTTGCATTTAATACATCTGGACATCTTTACATGTCAGTGAAGGAGAGCCATGTGATTGTAATCCCACCCGCTGCGTGGCACCCTGGTGTTTTACCTGGGCAGGCCAAGCTGCGCAGGGTGGCAGCACTGTATGGGACAAGCCACGCAGGGCAGGCACCCCAGCGGCACTGTAGGAGACAGGCTGCGCAGGGCTGCGAGCGCCAGWGGCACTGGGCAAGGATGGCATGGATTTCTGTTTCGCCTGCCCAGTTCTCCCCATGTAAATTCCAGGAATGCTAGATCAGATCATGGATTGTTCTCCAGAGCACAGGGGTTTCACCTCTCCCTCCTCCCGTTCTTGGTGCTTGGTCCCCCTGTATCTCACTCTGTGAGGTGAGTGGACAGCTGGTGGTTTTCAAGGGCAGCATTGGCACGGAGCCGTTTCAGGGCTTGGGCAGTGGGTCCTGCATCATTGCCCTGTCCCAGACCTTAGACAGTCTTAGGGTGACATCCTGTGATGTTGTTCTAGGAAGGAATATACTTGAGCTTTGAGAAGTCATGCAGTCAACTCTAGGTAGGTATAGTAGGCTGTCACTACATTGGCAAGCATTTCAAATGGCCCAGTCATCAAGCTGAAGGTAAAAASTGTTTGTTGCTAGAGAATAGTTAATGGCAATATTTGCCATGACCATCGTACTCGATAGAAGACGATATTAGTAAAAATGCAATAGCTGCTAACCGTCAATCTTCCAGGCTTTGGTCTACGAACACCCCGGACAAGAACTGGAAATTGAGCTCTTTGATGAAGACCCAGACAAGGATGACTTCTTGGGAAGGTGAAGAAGGCCTCCTGGCTGTGGGGACAGTGTGGGCACTCCGCTCTCAGTCACCTCACACATAGGAGCTTTGAACCTACTTACTTGATACAACTTTTGTTTCACATTTCATTTCTTAAGACACTTTAATTTCTAAAAAGTCACACTGAAGAGAAGACAAGCCACTAGCTCTAGCTGTCTGTCACAGTGACCACCCAGGGGTACTTGAACCGCCAATTAGAATGGAGCAAGCCAGGAGACTCAGTAGTCACCTGCAGAGCCTGCCCCTGTGCGGAAAGCAGCTATTTCAGTTTACTGGGATATAGTAAGTTGCATTGTTCCTACACTGGGAAAATAAATATTGACTTGTGGGGATATAGCTCAGTGGTGGAGTACTTTCCTAGCAGGCTTGAGGCCCTTTCAATCGCCTGTACCACAAGAGAATAATGATGATAATACTGTTTATTTAAAATGATATATATTACGGTAATAATAATTGGTTTAAAATTGAAAATTTACATAGCTTGGGAAAACAAACTTTAAAAARTAGACTTCTGCCTGAGCTTTATTATTTAATTTATCATGACAGAAAAAAAGATGCAGGAATAGATAGATGGCACTGCAGAGATTTGAGCCTCATCCAGAGCAGCCCTGAGTGGCATGCCCTGGCTGCAGAAACCACAAGCCTGCAGAGGCCAACCAGAGCAGTCCAGGCAGAACAGGGAGCTCAGCAAGGAGCCTGCTGCCAGGGACAGGGGCAAAGAGGAGGGCCCTCCAGGAGGAAGCGCCAGCACCTCGTCCCTTCACCGTTGCTGCTGGCCCTGTGGGGTGGGGCACTCTCTGCTGTAGAGCAGGCTTCTTCTCACACAGGCTGGCCAGAGGCTTCCGTGGGACCCCAAGTCAGGTGGGCCTAGTGCACGCATGCACAGAAAGCCAGTCCTGATTCAGTACGTGCCAAGTGCTGTGCACAGTGATGTTTGGCGGTACCCAGCAGAGCGTGTAGAACACGAGGACTGGCGTGCAYGCTGCACCGAGGGGGCCTGGTTCTTGACAGCTCTGACCTCTGCCTATGATCTCACAGAAGTGCAAACCCTACTCTTGTCCTTGCTCCTCTTGACACTCGGACAGAAGCTGGAGGATGCCTGTGGGAAAGGGGCCTGCTTCCCGATCACCTGTGTTGTGTTTTAGAGTACTTTTTCATAGACAGGTGCTTAAGATTACTTCATTTGTAAGAGCTGTGTTTTTGTGTTCTAAACTTTTGTGTTGTTATTCCTATAGTCTTATGATTGATCTTATTGAAGTTGAGAAGGAGCGCCTTTTAGATGAAGTAAGTTTTCTCTGAGTTTGGTATATTTAATAAGCATTGCCTGAGCACCTACTGTGTGTCAGAGATAGGGAGAACCATGCTGTTGCCCAACTGTCAGTGCAGGAATCCTGGCTGATCCTGTAAGGACAGCATTTACTTCATAAGAATTAAGAATGCAGGCCCTTAAAAAATAACAAAATAAAAAACATAAAAAGAAAATAACTAAAAGAATAAAAAAACAACGAAAGAATATAGACCTTTTAAAATAACAAGCTAAAAAGAAATAAATTTAGCCAGGCAAGGTGCCACATGCCTGTAATCCCAGTGACTTAGCAGGCTGAGGCAAGAGGATCACAAGTTCAAAGCCAGCCTTAGCAAAAGCAAGGCACTAAGCAACTCAGTGAGACCCTATCTCTAAATAAAATACAAAATAGGATTAGGGATGTAGCTCAGTGATTGAATGCCCCTGAGTTCAATCCCCTGTCTCTGCCACCAAAAAAGAAAAAGGAATATCAAATCAGATGGTTTGCATAGAGTACCTGCCACATGCTAGAAATTCTTATGGACAAAAAAACATAAAGCTGACTCTGTGGCAGGCAAACTGTGGCATACTACAGGGTTAGGGCAGAGTCTGAGGAGCCACCAATAAGGGGAGTTGTCATGGTATCTGTAGTTAATGGCAGAAATCGCACCATGCAGTCAGATTATAAAAGAGAGCTGTAAATACCATTTGAATTTAGAGCAAGAAAATATTATTTCAAGGGCTGGGGTTGGGCTAAGTGGTAGAGCGCTTGCCTCACATGTATGGGGCTCTGGATTCGATCCTCAGCCCCACATAAAAATATAAACAAAATAAAGGTATTGTGTCCATCTATAACAAAAAAAAATTAAGAAAAAGAAAATATTATTTCAAACAGGGATATTGGTATCAGAATAAAACATCAAAGAGGAAAAATAGAGAGAGGCTTCTAAAAGATAGTCAGATTTAAGCAAGCGAGCTCTAACCAGCCAGACTGGCGTCGAGATCCTGCTGCTTCCAGAGCAGCCACCTGCCCACAATTGCACAAGACAAACAGAACAGAGCCTTGGGCTTTTTATCACTCACTATTTAGGGACCCTCTTTAATGGACCATTTTGTGGTTTTTAAGCCAGTGTTTGATGCCAGTGTTCAGTGCTTGGGAACCCACGCTGGCTGTCTCTTGGCCTCTGAACTCCCTGTGAGTTACATGCAGGACTTCCTAGTGCACGAATCCTGTGTGCATGGGAGTGGTGGTAGTGCTGCTTGGCGGCTTTCCTAGGGAGGGGCTGATGATCTCATGTTCCTGGCCATCATCTTGGAACACGAGGTTCGGTACGTCAGCTTGGTTGGGCACTGGGAGCGGCAGCAGTGCTTGCGGAGGCAGGGCTGGACATGGGTCTCTGGTTCAGTAGAGCCTGACTGGACTTGAACTCTCTCTCTGCAGTGGTTCACTCTGGACGAGGTTCCCAGAGGGAAGCTGCACTTGAAGCTGGAGTGGCTCACTCTTGTGCCTGACGCCGTGAACCTTGACAAGGTACTGTGCAGTGAGATCAGTTTCTCCAGATGGTGTTGCTCCTCAACTAAAAAAAATTATACCAGTAATTTTTATTATTGTGCTGTATGTGTCTACAGTAGTATCAGAGATAAATCAAAGAAAATGGGATTTTTTTTATAGTGGACGTTACAAGTTATACACCTGTTTTATATATCTTGAAATGGTATGCTTACTACAGGACGGGGATTTGGAGGGCCACACATCACCGAGTGCTTCATTTGATTGGTGTGTGTGGGGATAGCAGTCTTGTTTAAAAGACACGTATTGTACATTTTCAGTCTGTTGCACATATTGTTAATTTCTCACTTTTGTGGTTGTCTTATGCATAATTGACATATACAGATAGGAAGAGTCTCTAGTCTCGTGGACACACACTAAGGCCTTTTCCTCCCCTAGGTCCTGATGGACATCAGAGCTGACAAAGACCAAGCCAATGATGGCCTTTCTTCTGCACTGCTGATCTTGTATTTGGACTCAGCACGGAACCTTCCGGTAAATATAGCAGTGCTTGTTCATGTGGGTGCTTTTTTTCCTGATAGCAGTTCTAGCTTGGAAATGACTTCTTTGTTTACCCACGGTGTGGCATCTGGTCTTGTCTAGCTGAATTTGATTTCACAGCAGTGCAGAGGAGCAAGAACAGAGAGCATAAGTTAATGCTTGCTTTGCATGTCTAGATTCACCTCCAATCAGTGAAACTTCACTGCCTAAAGGTAGAAATCGCCTTTATTTGGAATGGGGATAAAATGAAGCCTCTGTGATCACAGACTCCAATCTTGTCCTAGCTGTGGCACAACAGTGCAAAGGCTGCTGCACCCGGAGGTATCCAGGAAGCTTCCAACAGAATGGGTAGAGATGAACAGTGTCTGAGTAATCTGCTGCCAAACAGACACTGTTCTGCAGCGAAAAGCACATGCGTATTTACATCAGAATTGTTTTGTCCTAAGGAAGAATGAAACACACAATACAGGTCTGTAGGGATGATGGTAACCTGGGAGAGATGATTCTGTTGACCAGACCAGGTAGGAACACTGCCAGACTTCAGCCCCCCATTCAGGGTAGTGTCATTGTCATTGTGAACGCCACACCATTTGGTATTTTTTCAAGTGCCCACATGCTTGCTCACCAGGCAGTCATTCTCTATTTAATTGTATCAATGACCAGTTTTGTTGAAAGAAAGAACACTGCTAGCAGGTACTGAGGTGGCCCCAGGACTGGCCATCGCTCACTTCTCCCCGCATGGTCAGTGCGTCCCCTCACGTGAGTGCTTTAGTGAGTAGCAGTCTGCAGACAAGAAGCGGACTGCGCAAGTCTGTTTCACACGAGGACTTCACCACACGCGTTTCATTCAGTCTATCATGCACTTTCTTTCAGTGAAGCTTTCTTGACTGATTTTACCTTCTTGATTTCTTACATTTTTCTTAGAAGAAGAATTTACCTTAATCTCTTTGCCAATCTTTCTATCTAAATCTGAGGCTTTATCTGTTATAATTTCACTTTGGGAAACGTTACTGCATTATCATTTAACCCTTCTTCAGAGTTTCTCATACAGAACGTTCTCATTTTAACCAATGATGTTTATTATAAAATGTCTTAATGTTACAATGACTTATAATGCCTGGTGAAAGTGAATTTGTTTTATATTTTAGAATATAGAGCATAGGGTGGGTGAACTGGCAAGAAAGGCTTAGGCCCATCTATAGAACTGATGTGTTTTGTCACATTAAATTGAAATTTCAATCATGTCATACAAGCAAAAAACGAAAAAAGAAAAGTGATGTACTGATTTTCTGTTAGCTGGGCAATTTGTGCATGAAGTGTGCTGTGGCCGTCAGAGGCACAGGATCCCCGCCACGCGCTACCCTAGGGTACAGTGAGGGTGGGGACCTTCCCTGGGGTCCCCATGAGCTGGGATCCTTTGGCTCTGCCTTGGCACTGTTTTCCTGTGCTTCTGGTGCGCTCATTGACCACAATCCACCGTTCTTTGCTTTTTCCTCCCGTCTGCACTTTCTTAAGAGTGTCTTCGAGGGAAACTTTGGGTGTGGCTACTTAAAAGAGAGGCGAGCGTCGGGACTAGTGTTTTGTGAGAATACTACCTCAGTCTATAGAGCACTATTTGTGAGTCCTCCAGGTCCTTTCCTTTGTTGATTGAGTTCTGCCGGAGTGTGGCCTGGACCTTCTGTGGAGTCTGCTCGTGTGGAATGACGGGGCATGCTGTCGTCATTTTCCTGCATGATTTCAGTTTCTGTGTATTCACTCTGTGCTGGTTTTGTAAAACGTAACACTGCTTTAACATTGGCAAGTGCATCTGACGGGAGATGAACTAAACTGAGATGCCTCGATTGCTGCTGGCCTGCAAAAAAATAAAAATTCCCATGACGAAGAAATGAAGCCACGATGTGAAAATTGTTTTGTAGTTCATCTCCATGTGAGATGTAAATATCTTCTTGTTCCCTTTCCCAAMCTTTCTTCTATCTGCCTTTTCCTCCTGACCAAACACAGCAGTGTTAGAGCATCCTTTCTTCCAGTCCATCCCTCTAGTCCATGCTCAGTCACCAAGGCGTGGTCACGTGAGGACAGGCAGTGCCCTCACGGTCAGGCCTTCTCCCTCAGGGAGAAGAAAACCACTTTGAGGTCACTGTTCAGATCCTTTTAAGGAATTCGAAGGCTTTCTTAGAGTGGATAACTATGCACTTTTTGTCTTGGTCTCATTRCGTCTGTTACCATGCCACATGGGTGGGACCTTCACTGGGTGCGTTCTGGGTAGGTACTCTTAGTTGGGATCCGGTCTCACTTGCTAGGGGCACAGAAAACCACTACTGACCTGTTAGTCTAGAGAGTCGCCCGTCAGACTGAACTCTGTGGCTGGCAGGGTCCCAGAGTCCGTTTGCCCCTGAATCTTACAGTGACAGTGCTTTGTGTTCTCCGGAGACGGAATTTCTGTTTCCAGAGCCTTTCCACATGCATCCTCAGCTTCGCTCGCATACCATGCGTGAGGCACCAGGTTCCATCCTCAGCACCACATAAAAATAAAAAATAAAGATATTGTGTCCACCTATAGCTAAAAAAATAAATATTAAAAAAAAAGAGAGAGAAGGTTGCAGGACAATACCTAAAGGACAGATATTTGGCCCCCATTTTACAGATGAGGAAAGCCAAAAGCCTGAGTCGCACCCGTAGGTGGATACTGTGGCCCTCCCAGCTCTGTCCAMGCTCCCCTGTTCACGGCCAGGAGGCCAGTGGCACGTGCTCTTGTTGTTTCAGAAGCAGTCCTTTGCTTCTGGCGTTTCTTAGTGATGACCAAGTAGCTGTGCTGTGTGGATTCTGTCTCCAGCAGCTTTTCCAAATTGCTTTTCCCATTCTACAGCTGCCTGCTTCTGCAAAAAGGAGATGAGCCAGGTTTTTTACATTGTTTTTTAGTATTTCGCCTSTGACATTGCTGGGTTCTCAGTCAGGTTCCCCCACATGACAACTGTGCTGTTCTGTTAGGATATATGCACCACAGGCTATTCCATGATGCAAATGGGAACACTTTGTCACCTGCTGGTGTCCAGCGTGATGCCAGGTCTGCTCTCTGGGTCTTCTCCGACAGGCTGCCATGGGAACTAGTAAAGCTCCAGGCGGCCCCTGCTGCCTGCCTTCCCTCCTCAGCCATTTCACCCCACTCCCCACCCGGAACTGAAAGCAGCAGCTTTCCTGCACGCTGGCACAACCTCGCCCTCATGGAAGCTTCTAGAACATGCCCTGCTCTTCCTCTCCATCATGTGCTGCACTTGAGCTCTGACCGTGGTGGCCAGCATTCAGGAGTCAAGCGTACACCGTAGCTTGTGTTATTGAGCACTTGCTAGGAGCCAAGCAGGGCAGGAGGGGCCCTACACGCACACCTCATCTAGCCCCTAGACTGTTGATGATGTTTTACAGATTGGAGATGAGACAGCACAGAGGACATAATGACCGAGATTACCACAGGATTGGGAGTAGCAGAGCTATCGCTTCAGCAGGGTTATGGGCTCATGATTCCACCTGTGGAGTGTATCTGAGACAGGTGGTATTTCTACAGTGCCTGCCCTGAATACAACGGTGCAGCATAATAGCCACCACTGCTCAGACCCTGGCGAGGGTGCTTTTCTTGGCTCTCCTTTAAACAAAAAGTCCAGTTGCTGCTGCTGCCTCAGTTGATGGGGAGACCCAGGGGGAGTGATGCCTGACTCCTAAGCCTTAGGCCTGGACACCTTCCCAAAGCATTTCAGTGACTTGGTCTCTCTCACATCCAGGACTGCAGCTTTCCACAATTCCACACAGCTCCTCCTGCAMCCCTGGCCCCACATCACAGCGGCTCTCCTTGTTGCCCTGTAACTGATGCATGTTGGAATAATGATCACATTTGTCTCAGCTACATTTGCCCAGTGTGAGCATCAGGAAAAGTCTCTGAAATCTGGAGTCATCAGTCCTTACCCTCGAGGGCCAGGGCTCCCAGGCTCGAGAGGTTTGTGCAGCATGGCCCATCATTGTGTACTTAGTGCTCAAGATTTTAAGAGTTTACTCAGGCAGATGATAACAAACAGAACCCTACCTAAAAATCTCTCTTGAATTTTTCAAGTCCCAAAGGACAGGTGTTAGGAGAATAAAGGATTGTGGAGGACTTGAAATATATTTTGAAAGCCTCTAAGGTGAAATCTTGGGCATAAAGAATCCTATGGTTGGGGGTTTTGCTTAAGTTTGTGTTTACTCTCCTAGATGTTCGTGTCATTAACCTTCCATAAGCTCCTCATTGCACGTTTTATTAACCCTTGGTGTATTCATTTTCTTCTGACCTGAAAGAATAATCCATTAGACTTTAACCCTGGTGTCTTGAAGAAGGCTGCCGTTCAGAGAGCGCTAAAGGTAAACCAAGTGTTCCCTCGAGGGTGCAGCGTAAGTAACGAGGCATATTGAAAGAGATGATACTTGAGCTCGCGAGGCGTGGCAGGCTGCCTCCCTGCCAGCCCATGGTTGGTCATCCTGTGGAAGAGAGCCTGCTGTTATCTGAGAAGTGGTAGGTGGAAACACAGCAACTCGGAAGGTAAATTTTATAAAGCTCCAATATGACACAGTGTCTTTCCTCCTGGCCTGGAGCAGCTCCCTCTAGGGCAGTTTAAACATCTGTGTTTCATTTGGATTTGAATTTTTGAAAATGGTAATTTAGAAGTTCTACTTAAAAATCTCAACCAAATGTTAGACTGTGATTTAAAGACACGCCTTGCGAATTGTAAATATGTTTTTAAGAAATCGCCTCTTCCAATATGTTGAGTAGGGTCTCTCAAAGCCTCACGGCTTTGGTGCTGCGGGTCTGGGTGATAGATCTTTCCAAGAGCTTTGAATTCATTAAACGAGGTATATTGGAAACTAAGCTCCACTGCTAAGACATGGTAGCGTGTGTCTGCAGCTAAATTGTTAGCACGTTTCTATGACTTATATTGTTTTGGGTTTTTTCTCTCTAATTTCTCTGAACATTTTAGGCTTACATATTTGGAGTGGGGAAATTTTAGAAATCATTCTTTTAAGAAAATTCCCAAAGAAACAGGAATGGTTGTTTCCTTCAGAAAAATGAGTGAGCTTGCAGCAGGACACAGGCAAAAATCTGCTTCTTCATGTCTGTTGACCTACACTGAAGAGGGACACATGGGTGGTGAGAGCAGCCTGTGTGTGCCGTCAGCACGTGGTGAAGCCTGTCCCCACAGGACGCTGGGGAGCTGGGGTCAGCACTGCTCTCCTGTGCTCTGCTGAGGAAGGCCATTGGCCAGCAGTGCAGTGCTCAGCAAGGTGGGCTTAGAGTCAGGGGTGTGGGCTTCACTCTGCTGTACTTGGGGTGTAAGTGTATCTTCTCCTTTGGCTTGCTGAGGAGGTTAACACAGGGCATATGAGAGATCCTCAGGTAGAAATAGATGTATTATCATTATCCTGTTATCACATTAACCCATTTAATAAAGCCTTCCACCAAGTTTCTGAAGATAGCATTGTGCCCATGTGATAGTCATGGAAACAAGGTTTCAAGGGTCAGGAGGCAGAACTGAGATTGAAACTCGAGGCAGTCTGACTCAGCAGCTCATATTTCATTCAGTTTGTGACTTTGAATTGTGCTAATGTATTTTGAATATAGTGTCATGGTCTAAAAGTTAGTAAGTGATTTAACTTTTTTTTCACATAACCTAACCATCCATCTTTAGATAACACTGCTGCTGGGAGGGTGCAGGGGTGCACATCTGTAATCCCAGAGGTTTGGGAGGCTGAGGCAGGAGGATCACAAGCTCAAAGCCAGTCTTAGCAACTTAGTAAGGCCCTAAGCAACTTAGCAAGACCCTGTGACAAAATTAAAAGGATTGGCAGTGTGGCTCAGTAGTTGAGCACTCCTGGGTTCAGTCCCCTGTACCAAAAAAAAAAGATCCACTGCTATTTTATGTACCACTAAGGGAGATTACAAAATGCCAGTTGTGTTTTGATAGTGTTTGTTTTATACTTATAAAATTTTTTAGATTTAGGTTAGACAGATTTTTACTGTCTGTCACTCACGTGCATCTCCGAAAGGAAGATGGAAGCACAGTAACGTGGCCAGAGCAGTGCCAGCTGCCTTACTGCTGCAGACTGCCCAAGAGCAGGCATGCAAAGCTAGTAATGGCGAGTCTCATTCTGTTTTCAGAGACCTTAGAAAGGGAAGGGGGAAGTGTGTCTTAAAATTGTAAGATACTTGAATGGATGGCCTATTTCAGTGAGGAAGAATTGGTATCAGTTAAGAATCRGCTCAGCTTCTGTGTTAAGGACCTAACGCAGTGATGGCTCACTCAGGACCTTCGTTCCTGGCTCCCACCTCTTGCGGGGGTGGGGGGGGGGCTGGCAAAGACTCACCCTCCTTGGGGCCAGAACCAGTTGCCTTTCTGTGCCCAGCTGCCGGGGAGCTATGGAAGGGAGAGCTGGTCACAGAGGATGAGTGTAGAGCTGGCTCCTGGGGTCTGTAGTGGAAGGAGAAACAGCTGAGCAGCTGAGTCATTGTCCTCCACCACGGTCTTCTGTGGCCTTGGACATTTATTTTTCACAGTGTTTATTTCATTTTTCTGAATGCATGCACATCAGAAAGATGAACCAGAAAATAGATTATCACAGCGGATCTTGGCTAGGAATATTATTTCCAACAATTATGATTTTGATACCTGTTTCTCATGGCTGCAGTGTTGAGGATTGACTCAGAATTACTAAACTAAAAGCACTTTTGTGACCTTCTAGTTAATTTCCACTAACAAATCTTAATAGCATCTCCCTGTGGGGCTAAGTTGAAAATAAACCTCAGAACACATACCTCTTGTCTTACTATGTTTTCCTTTATCAATTGTCTGTGCTAATGTGCTTGCCATTTTTTTTCTTTCCTGAATTTTCCCATTATATTTATATCTGCTGAATTTAATGGTTCTAAGCTGACATTTGTTCTCCTAGTCAAAATTCCTTAGCACCTGGTAAGCAAGAGTTGATGTCTGACAGCTGTGTGTATTTGAACGGAGCATGCTCAGTTAAAAACGTGAAGCTGTGCCTCTCCATGGCATTCTCTCACTCCAACCAGGGGTGTTCTGAAGTACCATTCTTTTACATTTGTCTTTTCTCATGTTTTTTGGTTTCCATTCATTGCACTTTAAATATTTGTGTTATCAACTTTTGAGAACTGTAGTTAACATTAAAGATTTTTTTCTTTTTTATTGATTTTATTATTTTTTTTAAATACACGACAACAGTGATTAAAGATTTTTTTTTTTTAATTTAAATTTCGGGGCTGGGGTTGTAGCTCAGCGGTAGAGTGTGCGCTTAGTGCGTGTGAGGCCCTGGATTTAATCCTCAGCACCACATAAAAACGAATAAAATAAAGGTATTGGATCTAACTACAACTAAATTAAATTAATATTTTTAAAAATTTAATTTTCACAAAGAAGCTTGCTTTAAAAATTAAAAAAAAAAAAACTTTTAACATGTAAAAATTAGGTGCAGCTGGTGTAGTGGCATGCACCCACATCCCAGCAGCTCAGGAAGCTGAGGCAGGAGGATTGCTTGGGCTTGGGCATCACAAAAAAAAAAAAAAAAAAAAAAAAATCCTATCTCAAAAACAACAACAAAAAAAGAGTTGTACATGAATGTCAGTGTTTTAGTTCACTTTGTGGTTGGAGCAGTCATGGCCCAGGGTGTGCTTAGCAATTGTTTTGTGGCTAACTTCCCCGTGTATTCCTTCTATCTGAAACGTCAGAGATGAGTAGAAGTGGCTCTCAACATCAGCCAAAAATTTCATGTTTAGTAGGCCTGTTTCAAAATCTATGTCTATTTATTTTGTCTGTTTCTTTTTGTTTTTGGATAGTCAGGGAAGAAAATGAACAGCAACCCAAATCCTCTTGTCCAAATGTCCGTCGGCCACAAGGCTCAGGAGAGTAAGGTAAGTCCTCATGTGGGCTGCTCCTCCAGGCTGCCTCTGGGGTCACTACGCCACTGTGCGCCTAAGGCATCCTGGGTGTCCTGCACCCTTTTTCCCTTAGAACATTCACTTTGTAAATAATCAGCTACTTAATTCAATAAAAAATATGTGGTTTGTCTTTTTAAGATAATATTAAAAATTACCATACAGATGTTTCATGGGTATGCGTAGAATAAATTCCCCAAGTTTCTTTTGAGCACTATTAATATTTAAACATAACCAATAGTTCTTAAAATTAAGCCAATAAAGTTAGGTTCAAGAATTGAAAGAAGGTGTTGCTGCCAGGTGTGGTGGTGTACACCTTCAATCCTAGCTCCTGTGGTGGTTGAGACAGGAGGATGGCAGGTTTGAGGCCAGCCTCAGCAACTTAGTGAGGCTGTAAGCAACCTAGTGAGACCCTCTCTCAAAATAAAAATTAAAAAAAAAGGGCTGGTGATGTCACTCAGTGGTTGAGCACCCTTGGGTTCAATCCCTGGTACACACGCACACAAAAAAAAACCCTAAGTGGACCTCTGTGTAGTACCACTGAGCTGATGAAGTCGCGGTCACTGAGCAGACTGGTCAGGTTAGAAACAGCTGATTTTCCTGACATATTCAGAAAGCTCTGGACCATCCTCTATGTTCTTAATACTGTTTATGCTTAATAATATAATGGTACATGCACTATTAGTATATGTCTTAGGATTATATTAAAGTCGTCCTATGCTTCTGAACACATTAAATCAGTAAGCACAACATTGGGATCCCTTTTCCACAGAATGTATTGCAGAGCTGATATTGATATATTTCTTCCAGATTCGGTACAAAACCAGTGAGCCCGTATGGGAGGAGAACTTCACCTTCTTCATTCACAATCCCAAGCGCCAAGACCTTGAAGTTGAGGTATTTTGTTTGCAACTTTTTAACTGATGTGTTGAAATGGAATTGACAATAAGTTACACATATTTAAATTGTGCTGTTGGATGAGTTATAATATGCAGGTGTAGATGAAGATGTATACAGACCCATGGACACATCACCACAATCAAGATAAGGACTGTAGTACCCATCCGCAGGAAAAGCTCCCTGGTGCTCTGTAACTCAGGTCAGATGCGCGCGTGCGTGTGCGCGCGCGCACACACACACACACACACACACACACACACACATACACACACAAGCAGATCTGCCTTCTGGGGCCTCACTGTAACTTGCTTAGATTTTATAGAATTGTGTGAATAGAGTTACACAGTGCATTCTTTTTGTTTTGTTGTTTTGTGTAATGATTTTGGGGTTTGCTGTGTTGTTACTGATAGGTGTAGTATTCCATAAGTAATATTCCATGGGATGGAAGCATCCCTATTGGCTTGTCCAGTACAAGGGTGTTAAAAGTTTGGATCCTTTCCTGCCAAGACCTATTACGAATGAATCTGCTCTGAGTCTTTGCATGCGAGTCTTTGTGAGGACCTATGCCTTTGTTGCTGTTGGGTATGTACTGAGGAGTAGGAGGGTCGATGCACATGTACCTTCCTAGAGTGCTGCCAAGTCACGTTTCATAGTGGTGGTGCCTTTCATGTCCCCACTGGCAGTGTGCAGCAGGTGCTCTTTCTGCACATGCTGCCAAGGCTCCATGGTTAGTGGGTAGAGGTAAAGCAGGCCCCTCATCATGGTCACTTCTGTGATTTCAGTCAGTCATGGTCAGCCTTGGTCCAAACCACAGGCCACATAATCACGAAGGGAGAGTCCTGTGCCGTGTAGCCACATCTGAAATCCTAGCATCCTGGGAGGCTGAGGCAGGAGAATCACAAGTTCAAGGCCAGCTGGGCAACTTAGATTTAATGAGATCCTTTAAATTTTTTTGAAAAATTTTAAAATTTTTTAAAAAGGGGTAGGGGTATAGCTCTAGTGGTGGAGCACCCCAGGTTCACTACCCAGTACCAAAAATAAAGTAGGGAGCATGCATATATCACGTTAAGTTATCTTGAAAGTGTGAGAGACCCATTCACATAACTTATAATTTATTATACATATTGTTAAAGATTGTTCTACTTTATTTTTTATTGTTGTTCATCTCTTGTTGTGCCTAATATGTCAGTTAAACTTTATCACAGGTGTGTATGCATAGGAAAACATGTGGTGCCTAAGGTTTCTGGTGCCCACGGGTCTTGGAGCCCAGGGACCAGGGCAAGGGCCTGCTGCTTTGCAATGGTGTGGGGTGGCCGTTGCAGCATGAGCCTCATGCTGTGTTCCTGGGCTCTGTGTCTCTACGGTAACATCACGTCTGCTCACTTCCTTTGCCCTTTTATTGTTGTTACTTGTCTTCTTAATGCTGAATTCTGGAAACAGGTCCTTGATGGATACATGTCGTGTGGATATTTTCTCTCAATCTGTTTGCTTGATTTTACATTTGGTAACAAAGACTTTGCAAAAGCAGAATCTTCAAAATTTGCTGATGTTCATTTTTTTCACCTTTTTCTTTTTGGTTCATGYTCTTCGTGTCCTATAAAGAAATAAAGATTGCCACACCCTTGTTTCTAAGTGTTTCTCCTCTGCCTTCTCCTGGAGGTCGTATTTCTAACTTCACATCTAGGTCTATGTCAAGTTAATTTTCATTTACAACATCAGAGAAAGGTCATAGGTTTTTTTTTTTTTAGAGAGAGAGAGAAATTTAATATTTTATTTATTTATTTTTTAGTTTCCAGCAGACACAACGTCTTTGTATGTGGTGCTGAGGATCGAACCCGGGCCGCACGCATGCCAGGCGAGCGCGCTACCGCTTGAGCCACATCCCCAGCYCCCATAGGTTATTTTTTAATAGATGATTGTACTATTTGTTCAGCAGGTTTTTTGTTCTGCTTGGAGATTTGTAGTTTGTTTTTCACATAACTATGAATTGAACCCAGGAACAGTCTAACACTGAGCTACGCCCTCAGTCCTTCTTTTTTTTGTTTTGTTGATGGATCTTTATTTTATTCATATATTCATATGTGGTGCTGAGAATTGAACCCAATGCCTCGCACATGCTAAACAAAGACTCTACCACTGAGCCACAACCCCAGCCCCAACCCTCAGTCCTTTTTATTTTAAGACAAGGTCTCACTAAATTGCCCAGGCTGACCTTGAACTTGCGATCCTCCTGTCTTACCCTCCTGAGGGGCTGAGATCGTAGGCTGCACCACCATGGCCGGCAGATGACCAGGCCTTTAAAGCAGATATTGTCAGTTTTCAAACCAACCATGTAGACTTTGAATAGGGAAGACTTGAAAGGAACCTAGAGGTGCATTTACTGCACAACCAAGTGTCACCAGTGAAGACCTCACACCTCATTGCGCGTGCGCATCGGCCTTCTCACAGGGGCTGAGGACCTTGCCTTCCTGCAGCCCATGCCTCTAAATGGAGACATCACTTGAAAGAATATGGCTCAAACATGTCTGGGCTTTGTTTAATGTGTTTTCTAAACTCTGTRGGCTCTCTGTAGTTTCTGTGCCTTCCCCTCCAGGTTCAGTGTTGTGCCCTGTAACCTGCAGGTCAAAGACGAGCAGCACCAGTGTTCTCTGGGCGGTCTGAGGATCCCGCTCAGTCAGCTGCTCACGAGCGAYGACATGACCATTAACCAGCGGTTCCAGCTCAGCAACTCAGGCCCAAACAGCACTTTAAAGATGAAGATCGCCCTCCGGGTACGTGCCGCCTTTGGTGATAGATGGTGTGTGGGAGGAGGCCATCTGCTGGCAGCGCCTCGCCCGTCCTGGTCAGCGAGGCAAATGCTGCCCTGGATGCAGGGCAGGCGGGGCCAGGGTCCCACAGAGGTGCTGCTTGAGGTCAGTGGACCCCTCGTTTGGTCCTAGGAGCCCACTGGGCTCACTCCCAGGACAGCTGCAGCAGATGGTGAGGCCGGCCCGGATCACACAGTGCTCTGCCGAGTCTACCAGCCGTTTTTACTCTGTGGTCCAGAAGGTGCTGCCTCTGCATTGACARAATTCTCTCCTGAGGCCGAATTTTCAGAATTATTCAGGAGAGAGAATTTAAACCCAGCAATAGGGCAGATTTGAAAATAAAACCAGTAAATATTTGGGGAAATGCCAAAACTTAGTAATAAGAATATACAAATTGAAAAGTCAATTTTTCTTTCTTTTTTTTTTTTTTTTTTTTTTTGGCACTGGGGATTGAACACAGGTTCTCACACTCTACCACTGAGCTATTCCCCTGCCCCAAGAGCCAGCTTTTAAAACAGACTTCGTCTGTAGAGGGTCCAGAAGAAATGGTTTCCTTGCACCTGGCCAAGACACTGGGCATTGGTATAGCCTTTTCAGGAAGAACTGCAGTAGCCCCATGCCATGAATTCCAGGACTCTTTGAACCTGAAACCTGACTTTTGATAATAATGCAAAATGTGGGAGGGGTGGGGATATAGCTCAGTGATAGAGGTTGCCTAACACCCGTGAGGCCCTGAGTTCAACTACAAAAAACGGGGGAAAATTTCAGGGAGGCCATAGGAATAAAGACCTTTGCTGTAGCTTTATTTCATGAGAGCAGGAAAAATCCTCCAGCCATCTCAATAACCCCAAGGTGGAGGAGACTGCTCAGTGGGACGTGCCAGCCCCAGGTCCCAGGAGAAACGGTGTGGCTGCCCTTCTCTTTCTGTGCCATGTCTGGGATGCTCCTGCTAGGTAGCAGGGTTCCGAGGGTGTTTCTCTCTCTGGGCTTCCTGGTTCAGTCTATCCGTGCAGATGAGGGCCTTCATCTCCTGTCGGGGCAGGTTCAGTGGGCTCTGTGTGAGACACAGTCGACAGTTGAGTAGGAAAGAGTGCAAGTGGGGGAGCCTGGAGAAGACACAGACCTGGTGTTTGTTTTGTACAAGTGATGTTTTGATTAAACTTTGCTTTTCTAAACTTTCTGTGATATGGTATTACTTTAATAATTGAATAACCAAACAGAAAAGATTAGATTTTTTTTTTTTAACATTTTGAGCTGGTTTTAAAGAAATATCTGTGGAGGAGTGCATCTGAAGCCAGCCAAGTGCCAAGAGGTTACCAGTGTCATTGATTTCAGTGTTTGTTTATGTCCACCTTTAGGTACTCCATCTCGAAAAGCAGGAGCGGCCTCCAGACCACCAACATTCAGCTCAAGTGAAACGACCCTCTGTGTCCAAAGAAGGGAGGAAAATACCTGTCAAATCTCAGGTGTCTGCATCTCCAGGCACCAGCAGGAGCAGCACGGCCCCGTCTACACCAGTCACTGGGGCAGGTGATAGACCTGGTGTAGAAGAGAAGACCCAGCYCCCTGAGGCCAGCCCTGTGGCCCAGCGTGACCTGGGCAGAAGCTCCTCCAGCCTCCTGGCCTCTCCGAGCCACATATCTGTCAAGGAGCCCACCCCCAGCATAGCCTCAGACATATCGCTGCCTATCGCCACCCAGGAGCTGCGGCAAAGGCTGCGACAGCTCGAAAAGTAAATGTCCACTGCCTGGCTCTCACTGTGCCACATACCTGGCGCCCGGGTGATTGTTCATCAAGCTCGGCGCCCACCCAACATGTCACGGGGGGTAGGCAGACAGAGTTTATGTCCCACACCCAGCAGGGCGGGAGATGCCTTCTTAAATTCACTGGAACAACTTCAGGTGGTGTTGCCGTTTTGCCCACTGTGTCTGACTTTCAAAATAAAGCCTGCCAAGCTGGGTGTGTGGACAGGCATCTGTAATCCCAGTGACTTGGAGGCTAAGGCAGGAGGATGGCAAGTTGGAGACCAGCCTCAGGAATTTAGTGAGACCTTGTCTCAAAAAAGGGGGGGGGGGCTGGGGGTGTAGCTCAGTGGGGGAGCAATTGCCTAGCACATGTGAGGCACTGAGTTCAATCCTCAGCACCACATAAAAATAAATAAAATAAAGGTATTGTTTCCATCTACAACTTAAAAAAAAAGATATTTTTAAAAAAAGAGAACCTGTCATTTTTTTCTAGGACCATTTAAGGATTAGGAGGTGGCAGAGTAAGAGGTTCTCTAAATGGGAAAGGAAAGAGGCTTAGAGCCATGAAGCTATTGCACCACCCCCCATCCCAGGAAGACAGACTCAAAAGATACCTTAGAGACTTAGTGGGTGGTGAGTGGGAAGGTTTGGCAAAAGGCTTTTATATTTATTTATTTATTTTTTTGGCACCAGAGGTTGAACTCGGGCACTCAACCACTGAGCCACATCCTCAACCCTATTTTGTATTTTATTTACTTATCACCTCACTTTTGCTGAGGCTGGTTTTGAACTCAGAATCTTCCTGCCACAGCCTCCTGAGCCACTGGGATTACAGGCATGTGCCACTGTGCCCAGCTCAGAAGGCTTATCTTTACTGTAAAAGAACAGGTTGTCTAGCTGGGTGTTGCGCTACATGTCTGCAGTYCCAGGGACTTGGGCTCACAAGTTCAAGGCCAGCCTCAGCAACTTTAGCTCCTGTCTTAAAATTTACAAAAGGGCTGAATATAGATCAGTGGTACAGCCCTGCTGGGTCCAATCCCCGGTACAAAAATACTGAACAGGTCACCAGGCCCCGTGGTACTTACCTATTATCCCAGTGACTGGGAAGCCTGAGGCAGGAGGATCACAAGTTTGAGGCCAGGCCCAGCAACTTAGATTCTGTCTCAAAATTTAAAAATTTCAAAACCGTGCTCCCACTTGCTGGCGCACTCCCCCCCCCTCTCTCTCTCACACACACACACACACACACACACACACACAAACACACAAACACACAAAGGTACTGCTCTTCTGTGTGTGGTCAGCATCCCATGCCTGCTGTCCAGTCCCTGGTACAAAAATACTGAACAGGTCACCAGGCCCCGTGGTACTTACCTATTATCCCAGTGACTGGGAAGCCTGAGGCAGGAGGATCACAAGTTTGAGGCCAGGCCCAGCAACTTAGATTCTGTCTCAAAATTTAAAAATTTCAAAACCGTGCTCCCACTTGCTGGCGCACTCCCCCCCCCTCTCTCTCTCTCACACACACACACACACACACACAAACACACAAAGGTACTGCTCTTCTGTGTGTGGTCAGCATCCCATGCCTGCTGTCCAGTCCCTGTGTGTCTATCTTTGGATACTGTATTAACCCCCTTGATTCATAGATGTTGCTGATGGTGTCTTCAGAAAGGAGAAAAACAGACCAGTCATCAAAGCTTCAGACATTAACATTTCCCCTAAGTGGAAGAAGTAGGACTGACCTTTGAAATTGTTTCTCCTGTTATTGTGAGAGGGGTGTTGAGTAGTGGGAAAACAGAAGGGAGGCAGAGGTGGAAGGTGCTTGTTCCCCGGTGGTTCTGGAGCTCACCAGGCACCAGTGTCCGCCAATCTACATCTGTGAGGCTGTGTTTGGCCCATGCTCACTTTCTCCTGGGCACTTTCTCATGTCCATTATTTTGGGAAAAAGAAATCACTCTTCCTGCTCTCTTTCTGAAGGAAACCGAGTTTTAAGCCAGGAGCCACCTTTTCTTAGATGACGGTGGGGAGTAGCTGACCACCCCTGCGACCCTGAGCAGGAGCAGTGGCTGTGATAGGAGTCTCTTCCCACCTGGAGCAGAGGCCTTGAGGGGAAGGAAGGCAGGGCCTGTGTCCCACCAAGACACAACCAGTGTTTCAACAGGGAGAGGAGTTTGTCTCCTGGTTACTGTGGGCTCTCACCTGAAAACTGTTAGCTTTGAGTAAGTGTAAAGAACCTTCTGGTAAAGTAGCGCTTGCTGGCTGTGCGTGTGCGGGTGGCCCCTGAGGGTGAGCTCTCCTGCCTGTGCTCAGTGCCCTTGAGTGACAGCTCTCCTAGTGACTTTCTGCTCTGCTTCCCACAGTGGGACGACCCTGGGGCAGTCTCCGCTGGGGCAGATCCAGCTGACCATCCGGCACAGCTCCCAGAGGAACAAGCTCATCGTGGTGGTGCACTCCTGCAGGTGAGGCAGCAGGCAGGCCCACCTGCCCGCAGAGAGAGGTGGACCTGGCAGCCCTTCTGCCCCTCCACGCCGTGTGGAGCCTGAGGGCTTGCCAGCAAGGTGCATGTCACCCAGATGGGAGCAGCCTGGGCCACACACTGCATGCTCGCTTCTGTGAATGTGGTGTGGGTGTGGGGAGAGCTGAGAAAAGACGTATTGTTCCCTCCCTCAAAAGAAGTCTGAGCAAACTGGAAGACAAGTTTTTTAGGTTGCTGGAATACGGAGAAATGGGAACACAGAGGTGTTGGAAGAAATAAACGTTCACCCCAAGTCTGACAGCAAAATTTTGCAACCTAGAATAAGCTGTTTGAATGAGTAAACAAAACAAAATGCAGCCACACGGACCCTTCTGAGAAAAGTACCAAAAATTCTGCCCCCAGCAGAACATGCCAGCAGCCGCGCACACACTCGCTCACACACAGGCATGCCACCTTCGTGGGCTTTGCTTTTGTTTTTGGTACTGGGATTTGAACTCAGGATGTTCTATCACTGAGCTGCACGCCCAGGCTATGTATTTGTTTATTTGCTTGTTTATTTATTTTTAAAATATACTTGTCAGTGGATCTTTTATTTATTTATTTATATGTGGTGCTGAGGATCATACACACCAGGCAAGTGCTCTACCACTGAGCCACTGCTCCGGCCCCGTTTATTTTTATTTTGAGGCAGGGTCTCGCTAAGTTACTAAGGCTGGCCTGAACTTGAGTCCTCCTGCCTCGGCCTCCCAGTAGTGAGATCGCAGGCTTGCCGTTCACTGTTGCTGCAGTCCTAGTAGGCATCCCTTTTCTGTTCTCAACATTGTTTCATAAGCATCTCTGTTGCACTCTGGTCATGCTCACAATGTTACAGTGACCTCTGAACTTGCTCTGCTGTACTTTGTGACGTTCCTGGAGGTTGGACATGTCTGCATTACATACCATAGTGAACGGTTTTATTGAACAACTTTTTGCACTAATTTCCAGGAGTAGTATTAATTCAAAAGAACCAGCGAAGGTGTGATTCACAACAGGTGTGGTGCAGCTCTTTCAGACAGCGGCCATGGGCCCAACACTGCTTGGTTCCTTCCCCACAGCAGGCGAGGGTCATGTAACCTGTCCCCGACCCCATGCACCAAGTGAGGAAGTGCAAGGGGGTTGACAGTGTCACTTAATTTAATAAGGATGATGGCATGGGATTACTAATTATTTTCCTTTTATGTGATTTTTGTCTGTGTTGGTAATAGTTTAGACAGACAGAATTGGTAACATTTAGAAATAAGATTATGTGAGGAGCATGGAGTTTGGCTCAGTAATCACAGAGCCCCTGGTATGTCCTTGCTACTGAGAGAACAGGGGAGGCAGAACAGCAAAGGCTGTGGAGCGGGTCTGCAGGCACCCTGCCTCTCAGGGCTTCCTGGAGAAGGTCCTGGGAAGGTCTGCAGTGGAGCCAAGTCCCCAACCAGGAAAGCCAGAGGGGCCACTGGGAGGGGTCCCCTCAGGGTTGTGCCGACAAGGGTCTGGTGGCTTGACCGTGAGGCTAACTCCCGTTTCCTCATGTGGGTAAAGCAGTGGGAGTATTATGTCAAGATATGTAGAAGCACAGCAGGGACGCAGAATGTCCCCCGACCCTGGACCTAGGACACAGAGGCAAGGTCGCCTCCGGCAAAGCCACTGACAGAAGCTGGGGCAAGAGGCCAGCAGGCAAAGGTGGGCAAGGCAGACCCCTGGAGCTCTGCTTGATGTGTCCTTGTTACTTCAGGCAAACTGAGCCCACAACTGGAAAAAGTGAATGTGGATGTGATGGTGTTCTTCTTTCCCTCGATTCTGATGTCCTGTCTTTTTTGGTTTGTGTTAAAAGAAATCTGATTGCCTTCTCAGAAGATGGCTCTGATCCATACGTCCGCCTGTATTTACTGCCAGACAAGAGGAGGTCAGGGAGGAGAAAAACCCACGTGTCCAAGAAGACATTAAACCCAGTGTTCGATCAGAGGTACGATAGAGCCTGAGCTCAGGAGGGAAGAGAGAGCAGAGGTGCGGGAATGAGAGAGGGCTTGCACAGCCAGGGGCCACAAGGCAGAGGTGTGGCCTCGACCCCCACCTCTCCTGGGTGCACCATTATGATAAGCACACGGCATTCGGAGTTTCCTGCAGAAACCTGGATGCTGAGCACAGTAGGCGCAGGTCACAGGCACCCAGTAGGGAGACTAGGGACTGAACAAAGGTCTTCTGAAGGCCCTGAAGAAAATTCATTATGGTGGGCAGTGACTGTGGATACCTACTGAAGACCTGAAGAAGGTCCATCATGKTGGGCAGTGCCTGTGGGTACTTACTGAAGACTTGAAGCCACATGTTTTGCAATTGTTTTATAGTAACGTAATAAGCTCATAACATCTTAAAAAACAACATTTTTATGAAAACAACTATATTTTCCAAAACAATTTCTTAAAAATTATTGAATAATATTATCGCATGTTTGCAAACCTGCAGTGATCTGACCTGACAGGCTGTAATCTGCTTGTGTGGGGTCTTGCTAGGTGACTTCCTGAGAGCATCTCAGGACCCATGTAGGATGATTAGGTTGGGCCCTGCCTCGGGGTCTGYTGGTGGTGGTTTGGAAACAGTAAAGCTGGGTGGTACCAGTATCTGTGGGCTCACAAGAAAGGTGCAGCTTGCTCACTGTCTCCATACCAGGAACTGGATCTAAACTGTTGGAAGCTGTCAGGTATGCACCAATAGGAGAACCCCATTTTACAAGACAAAAGAAGCATAATGTTTGGAATGATCTTATAAACAGAAATGCCATTTTAACTGAAACACACAGAAGTGTGGAGAAAGTTGGTAAGGCCCTGTGTCCCCTCAGCTTTGACTTCAGCGTGTCACTCCCTGAGGTGCAGAGGAGAACCCTGGACGTGGCAGTGAAAAACAGTGGCGGCTTCCTGTCCAAAGATAAGGGACTTCTTGGCAAAGTAAGTGTCCAGAGCCTGGCGTGTTGCTGTGCCTGGTGGTCCTCAGGCCCCACCCCGGGCAGGTCTGAGACCACACCCCAGCTATGAAGGGCTGCACAGGATAGAGTGCACTCCAAGGCATTTTAAGTTGTTCTCATTGTCTTTACAGTTTCAAATTATGGGATTATTAGTCATACCAGGAACCTTCAGTTAAAGAAAAGTTGGTTCTCAAGTTTTTAAATTTTTGTTCAGTACCACACTGAAAGAAAACATGGCTGGAGATTAGCTCAGAGGCAGAGCACTTGCCTAGCATGTGTGAGGCCCTGGGTTCAATCTCCAGGACCTCAAAACAAAATAAAAATGAAAAAAAAAAAACACAAATGAAATGTTCTGTACAGCTCCACCTTCTCAACTGATTGCACAGTCCCTCTTCCAACCAGTGGTGGCTTCATCTCGGAACTCCTTGCCATCTTTGTCCCTGGTCACATTAGTTTCTGCATGTGGTTCCGTATTCTCCACCAGTACACGTGAAGGTGAAGTTAGGGAAGGGAGCTCTGGACTGCAGACACCACTGGTGGTGCAGCACAGGGAGCCCACATTAGGTACGACGCTGTTGATGGCACACTGGCCAGGCCCCTTCGGTCAGCTCTTCTGGCTGCGGGAAGGAGCCCTTGCATGCAGGACTTTCTCTGCCATGCTCACAGACACTTCTCGCCCACAGGTGCTAGTTGCTTTGGCATCTGAAGAGCTCACCAAGGGCTGGACCCAGTGGTGAGTGGCCTTCCCCCACAGCCGGGTGGAGCTGGTGGAGTGGGCGCAGTCCTGGGTGCTGGCTGGGGCCTGACCTGTGTGCCCTGCCTCTGTGCTCCCCAGGTACGACCTCACCGAGGATGGCRTGAGACCACAGCTGGTTACGTAGCCCCATGGACACGAGGGTGACCTGGGGCCTGCTGCCTCTGTCCAATCGTACCTTCCTGCAGACGTACCAATGCTATTTTTATAATTTCATGTACTTAGTTATGCCTACCTTGATGATTTTATAAAACTGTCGACATTTTAGGCAAACGTGGCCAATATGGTCGTTGAATGTACTGGGTTCCTTCTGTGCTTCGCCCGGCCTGCCACGAGCAGCAGGGCTGGCGTTGCTGCCCAGGGAGCGCTGACCCTCTGGGCCAGGCCTTGTTCGTCCACCTCTGAGGTGCCCTGTGCTGTGTAAATAGACTCTATTTTTTATAATCTTTACATGCTGGCTTGGATTCAGAAGAAAGTGGATCAAAGAAATACATATTTTCTTCTAAAACTTGTTAAATTCTTGTGACAAATAATCATTTTCATCTTTGCAGCAGAAAGTTCACAGTGACCTATTTTGTCGTGTTTCTTTTTAAAAAGAAAATTTAGAAAGATTATCAAGTATCTTTATTATAAATGATAATTATCCATTATAAATGATAAAAGAAAGTATTCAGAATGTCAATGTTTTCATAAATACAAAGATGTACTATTGAGCAGTCAAGAGAAGGGCTTGTAAGGAGAAGTGCTGTGTGCCCGAGTGACAGAAAAGGTGGAGAGAGCTGTGGCAGTCCACAGACGTCTGTTTAATTGCTTATTGCAGCTGGTTCATGCAGCAGTGCAAAGATGGACACCTGAGGCTTTCCTGAAAGTGAGGCTTCCCCTGTGTGTCATGGTCCCCAGATGGTGATGGAGGCTGGTTGTGAGGGACATTGGGTCAGGTGGGGAGCTGATGACTGAAAAAGCCTGATGACTGGCCTGTTCACGTGAAGCAGAGCCCAGCTTTGCCACTCTGCCAGAACACAGGGCCCCACAGGACCCAGGGAGCTCTCCCACTGCCCGCGCTGAGGCCGTGCGGCCCAGCGCTGCCTGGGGCTCCTCCCTTTGTGCCAGTGCTGACCTGAGTAATGGGGTGTTGTCGTGCAGTCCTTATTCGGGCTTCCTTTCTGTTTAGGTGATCAGAGCACGTTGTAGACTCTCGTGTTCCCAAGCCTGGTCCCAGGCTTGGCTGTGGTGGTGTGAGTCATGCAGGCCTGCCAAGGGTGCACCGTGCAGAGCGGCTGCTCATCTGTCCCAGGCGGCAGGACGGGAGGAGAGAGGGCTGCCCTGGCTGTGGGAACGCGCAGAGCTCCTCGTGCCAGTGGGAGAGTGTGCAGTGTGCTTCCTGGGCCGGGAGCTCGCTCGACCAGACATCCCAAAGTGCCTGTGGCTGACGCSGACTGTTACTGCTCCTCCTGTCCACCACATGAGTTTCTTTCCGTGTATGGCTCACATTYTTCTCCACGGTGAATTTGTAGTGGAGTCTGTAGCTTCGGCTCACGTTGCCTTTCACCGTAGGACCAGTACAGTCCCACTGCCTCCTGTCTGCTGACACTTTCCCCTGAAGCCTGTCAGTCACCCCAGTTCTTACCAGGACTGTCCTGGGAAGAAGTTCATGTGTCACACACACGTGACCTATATGTACACAGAACATTTAATTGTATTTTAGTAGCCAGAGAGCAGTAAAATCTTATTAATATCTAGTTGTTTCTTGGTATTTAGGTGTTTTTTTTGAAGATTTTTTTTTTAATTGTTGAAAAATTTGGTCTACTGAAGGCTTCTATTCCACTGTGTGAAGGGGAAGATGCATCAGAATTTTCACCAACGTCCTACACATCTGGGCTTTGCACTTTTAATTGCTTCACTTAATAGAATAAAATGCTTTATTTAAGCAGCTAGGCAAAATGAATGCAGTGAAGGGCAGAGAGCCTGGAGGAGGCCAGGTGGGCAGCAGGACACGCTGCCCTCTGCTGCCGTGAGTGGGGAGAGCTGTTACCCAGGGTTTCGGTATGAGGTCCCCACCGGCAGGTCCTGAGACCTCTGGGAAGGAAGGGGCCGGGCTATAGTGCAGAGCTTACCCACATGTGGGTTTCGTGCCCAGCGCAGGAGAAGGGCAAGGGAAGACCTCAGGCAGTGTGTGTCTCCCTGACAGCTCTGTCACAGCACGTGGGGAAGGCGGGCTCCACACCCAGGGTCTGACCGGGGAGGCACCTGGGTTGTCCTCAGAATGTTAGCTCTGGGTTTCTAACAATTGATTTGACTACGGAAAGCCAAACCAATGGAGGAGAATTAGCTCAGATGAAATTTGAAGTGCAGTTCCKTTGGCTTGTGCCCGTGGTTTGCCCATGCCCTGCCTTAAAGTGGGAAGGTGTTGTTTACAAGTGCCAGCCTGAAACAGGAGCGCCTTGGAGGTGGTTTACACAGTTTATGTCTGCACTCTGAGGAGAGGTCAGTCCTGCCCCAGACCWGAAGGCCAGTGCTCCTAGACCTGGCAGCTGTGGGTTCATTCTCTGGTTGCTGCAGAATTCTGCTCCAGCCGGATGGTCTGCCCCGGTGGAGGGTGGCGAGGGCCTGTCAAACCATAGGAAGTCCTTTTTGCTTAACCAGCTTCACATGACAGTGCATGTATTTATTCAATAAAGCTTTTACATTATCTCACTTGTGACTTGTTTTTCCTTTGTCTTTTGAAATGAAATTGTTACTGCGGTACCAAATAACTTGGAAAATAAGTCCCGACACGTGTGAATTCACTTCCCCGTGGATTTGATTTTCAGATCACTGGGTATTGGTCCTCCTATTCCCGTCTAGTTTGATTCCCCTCTGCCTAGTTTATTTGACTCAGTTTGGAAAGCAGCTCTTCTGAAGGGCAGTCACGAGCAGGAAAAGCAGACCCTGAGTGAACTTTCTAACCAGAGCACCAAGCGGTCAGGAGACAGAAGCCGCTAAGGGTGTTGGAGTGCTCTTGGGAGTGCTGGGGTGTCTGTCCTGACCACAGAACTGGATGGCCTGAGGGGTACTTGGTAGTCTTCTCTTCGCTTCTCAGAATGTAAGTTTGCTTCTTTACTCACTGCTCATCTGCCGTCTTGATAATGCCTTTCTCTCTCTCTCCCTCTCTTCCTGTGTTGTGGGCATCAGACCCAGAGCCTTAGATATGCCAGACAGGGGCTCAGCCACGGAGCCCCACATGCTCAACACTGTCTTTGTCACCACTCAGACCTTCCTTCTGAGCTCAAGGCCAGTTGGTCCACCTGCCTCGTGGCATCCGTCTGCCTGGATACTCGTGTTGTCTCCTGCTGTCCGTCTGGACAGCACCTGTCRCTGCTCTCTCCTGTGGCAGATGTCTAGTCCTTGAACCCCAGCTTTAGAGTGTCCCCAGCCCAAACCCAGCCCTTCCTCTTGACAACTCCTGGGTTCAGCCTTTTCCCCTCCTCTCCCCCTCCCTTTGCCACCAACCGTCAGAGGGATCTTTCAAAACCCTCCACTCTGCTGTTCTCCATTGCTCTTCACAGTAACAACCCAGAGCACTACAGGGCTCTGGGGCCTGCCACTGTCCCAGCCGGTTTCCTCGGCGGTCCCTCCCCTGAGTTCACCTGCCCCCACTGCCAGGCACACTCCCTGAATGGGACTGGCCTGCTGGCTTCACTGCCCTTCAGCTCCCAGCTTAAGGACAGTTTGTGGTTCCGCAGGGCGCCTGATCATCGCCGTTCCCTTCTCAAGCGGCTTCCTGTTGCAGACTCGGCTGCCTGAGGTTTACTGCAGACTCTCCTGCRGGAAGCTCCCAAGGGCAGGGATCACTTGAGTGTCATTGAAATCCTTTCCTCATGGCCATTCTTGGCACAGAGTCAGTGCACCAGATATCTGTTGAATAAATGCTGTACACAGTTTGGCAGACCGTACATAACATTCATTTGTCTTAACAAGTTTTGATTCAAAGAAAGATAGAAACCTATTGACAGCCTTCAGTAAGGATGAAAGAAATGTACTGGTAAGCATAGTGCTACTGTTGAAACCAAAAGGAACAGAAATGTACTGGTGAGCA